TTGAATATGCCGCTTTGCTTAGCCACACGCGCAGCCACACGGTATGTGCTCGATGTTGGTTCATTGTCGTTCAATCGCTGATTTGGTTTGCATTGTCTGTTTTTAGAGATTGTGTGTTTCTGTCATATTTGGAGAACAACTGTGCCGCGACTGGCCTTGGTAGTTTACTCAACGAACCTTGGCACCAGCTCCCCATTTCTTTGACCCTTGGCTTGTGTTGGCTTGCCAAATGTGGCAGTGAGACTGAGTAATGGTAGTGGGACGCACCATGCTTGCAGGTCTCGGTACGTGGCACATCGTTTCCAAGGTCTGCGATTCGCAATCCTTTTCCTCTTTCAGTGGCAATAGTAGCCGCTTGGCTGATATGGCATGTGGTTGCCTGCTCATCAAAGCAAGAAATCGAGGCTTCATTTGAGTCAAGAGGCAGCATTGGCGCCCAGCCTTTCGATCGGAAATCTTCTGCGATGGGACACCCTGGATACGTCTTTCAATCAGGTAGCTTGTGCAAGGCACAGTCGGAGTACACACTCAGCAAGCTGTGCGATTTTCCTGGAAGCTCACGGAGTGAGATACTGCCAAGACATTGGGCATAAAGATTTGTTGAGCTCCCCAGGTGGGCAACATCGCGTGGCGTGGCCTGGAATGTGCGTGCGCGCGTGCGCGTGCGCGTGCGCGTGCGCGTGCGTGCGTGCGTGCGTGCGTGGGTGGGTGGGTGTGTGTGTGTGCTGAGTTCCAGATTTACCCTGGGACCACCTTTCAGTTCATGCAGGGGGACCATGCATTTGCTGTGTGCGAATGGTCCAACGAAGCGGCCACTGCAAATGCGGGTATCGAGGCTGATCACCTCGACGTGCCTGCACAACATCGTTCTATCAACAGAGCCGTTTTGTGTTGTGTGTTGCGCCGTTGCTTTACAAGGACCAATGGCTCGATCGGTGATGCGTTCATTGTTGATTTTATAGTCAGTCGAACCTATCTCTCCTCTCCTCTCTTGCATGACGTACACGAATGTACCAAACCACCCCTTGGGGTATTGAAGTGTGTTATCCCGAAAGGGAGATCCTCGAGTGCACCCCTGGTGTGGCCTCGGGTCCGCTTTGGGGAGTTCAGGAACCTCAGTCGTTTCACCGTGACCTCAGTTCTATAAACCTCAGTTGCGTGACCTCAGCATCGTGACCTCAGTGAGATATGAAGGTGCTTCTGTGAATGTTTCACACTCAAGAACAACAAGGCCGGGTTGCTCCTGCGTCCACACGTGTTTTCTTCCCCCCCTCCCCCCGCCCCTCCCCCCCCGCATCGTCTATGTCTTCCTGTTGACCGACTTCTGGCTCATCGCCCATTTAGGGATGGCTTCACTTTCCTCCCGTTCCCTTCTTCGCGCTTGTCGGCTACCGCGTGCTGGTCCTCCTCCTGTTCGCCCGTTTAGGGATGGCCTCTTTGTCTTCGAGTTCTGCGCCTTCGTCCTTGACTTTTTCGTCCTGTTTGTAATCACGCCGGCGCTCTCCGTTTTCTTCCCGCAGTTTGGCTTGACGTCTTTTACCTCTTCCGTTGACCCGTGGTGTACGTGCTCTTGGCCCCTTTGCGGGATGGCTTCTTCTTCTTCTTGCTGGTCTTCTTCTGTCTCTCCATCGCCGTCACCACTAAATGCTGGGTCCATTCTTTTGCCTGTCCCTGTTCTTGCCCTTCGCCCGCTTAGGGAGTGCCTCCTCCTCTTCCGGCTCTTCAACTTCGGTTCTATCAACAGCCGTTTTGTGTTGTGTGTTGCGCCGTTGCTTTACAAGGACCAATGGCTCGATCGGTGATGCGTTCATGGTTGATTTTATTGTCTGAAGCCATGAAGCAGTCGAACCTGTCTCTCCTCTCCGTTTTTGCATCACGTACACAAATGTGCCAAACCACCCCTTGGGGTATTGAAGTGTGTGGGTGTGGGTGGGGTGGGGGTGGGTGTGGGTGTGGGTGTGGGTGTGGGTGTGGGTGTGGGTATGGGTGTGTGTGGGTGCGTGTGGGTGCGTGCGTGCGTGTGTGCGGGCGGGCGGGCAGGCGGGCGGGCGGGCCGACTCGCGTGCCCAAATGATGGGCTGATTTTTTGTGCATAGAACTCTTCATGAGTTTGCGCTTTTGTGTTTTGACCAATGCCTGCCCAGGTGGGCTCGTTCGATATTGCTGCTGCACTGCTACATGCTTTTGTGCTTATTTGCCGCTGGCAGATCTGAGGACCGCCGCTGCTTTCCCCTGCTGCGAAGCACCGAGGGGTCATGTAGCCGACATTTGCAAAAGTACTTGAGGTAGCCAGACGGCGTGGGTCCGGGGCGAGTGTAATTGCAAGGTAAGGCACGGCCAGACATAGCCTGGGACCTCTTTTCATGTTGTATATTCAGGATTCACTGAATATGGGCCGGAAACTAAACATGCCACTTTTAGTTGGGGTAGCAACTGAGGTAGCAAATCAAAGCCTTCTCAAGATATCCCCTGCTTGCGAAATCGCCGTTACTGGTATGGCTTTTCCCAGAGCATGCAACCAGCTGACACAGATTCCCTAAAAGCAGCTGGCTTCGTATCCAACAAGTTCGTTACTTGCGACGCCTGAGCGATGAGGGAGGTCCAAGTCGACCTCCAAAAGTTTCACAGAGCAAGCATCTCTCGCCTTTGCTGTTCTTTCACTTGAACTTTGGTGTGTTTCTCAACGGTGGTCAATACATTGTGTCGTTGAGGACCTTAACCCCAACACAAGGAGTGACACCGGTTCTTATCTGGGTCATCTAGGAGCATCTTACATCTTTGCTGCTGACTAAAATGATGAGAAAATAACATATTTAGATCCTTTGTTTAGGGTTGAACACTGACCAAGTTGTGTGGGTGTCTCCAAGATGGAGCTACTGCTGACCAATCTTTGCCATCGGGCCAACTTTGGCATGTGCCTGTCCTTAGATGCGGGGTGCCGCAAGTATTGGACATTGGTGGGGACGCTGCCAGTTTTGGCAAGCCCTCGCATTGTTTTGCGTGACGTTGGGCAGAGGCATGGATCTAAAGACGCATCGGACATGCATTTGAAGCCTGTTGTATTGTTAGCAGTTGCAAGGGCTGAAGTGTAACAAGTATGCTGTCTTGGAGGTTTCTAGACATACCCTTAGGCTTTTGAGTTTGAGTTTACAGGGGTTTGTGACATGCCCTACTAAAAGTTTAACATTCAACAAGAGATCAACGAACCACTAGCTATGTATCTACATATGCACAAGGGTAGGTACATACGCATACATAATGTTGATGTTGCATGATTGTTGTGCAACAGCTGCACTTGGCAAAAGGACACCCAATGGCATGTCAAAGCTAGGTGGCTTCGACATGCTGGCAGTGAGAGTTTGCGGAGGGAGAGGCGTGCTTGCTACCCCATTTTTCACATATTCCAGTCTTTGGCAGCGCAAGGAGGGGCGAGATGCCAGGGGATTGGATAGCTGCGTGGAGCTATCAAGATCCGGGTTTGGCGAACATCGGCCACTGTTCAGGCCCCCCCATATTACCCTTGCTTTGGGATCTATATCATTGTCCCGTTGAAATTGACCAGCCAAGCGACACTGTGCAAGAGGATTGAATTGTGAAGCTGCTTGTGGCCTACGGAAATGGAACCTGCCTGGGACCTTCCCGCCCCAGTGCCCTTGCTCCGGAAACGCAGTGCGGACTCCAGGGCAAAAGGCCCAGCGGCCTCACTGACTCCACTCGAGAAAACTCGGGCAAAGCCGGGAGCAAAGACTGGGTTCCTCCAGTTCCACGAGCAACCCAGGGCGTCAAATTGGCCTGGCCCATGAGTGATCCCCCTCCCGCCATCCAGTTTTGTTCTGCGTTCAAGTCGAAGGTTTGCAGGAGTCAAGGGAGGTAGTCAATCCAGGGAAAGGCAAGTAAAACATAAATGAAATAAGGAAAATAAGGCGTTTTTGTCCGTCGCGTCATCTTAACCCCCACAAACGGCCCGTTCAACTGTTGATCGCATGGAGGCTTTCATTCATACACTCCCCATCACCTGCAATGCCATGATGTTGCACGACAGGCCAGGTTCAAAAGCAATCAAGGGAGCAACCAGAACAGGTTTTTAGAGCTTGAAATGCAGGATGGGGCCTTTTTGGCCAAAAGCCACGTTGCACTCTCGCATTTTGTCGGCAGGAAGCTGGACCAGAGTAGCGCAAATCAGCTGCTCTTGGGAGCTGGGTCGCCTGCTGTTCAGCTTGAATGAGGCGGATTAGTCTTTCTTTCAATTGAGAAGTACACGCTGAAATTAGAGATACCACAACTATTAACTGTCATGCATCGCCAGCGCTATGGTCATGCTCACAGCCATGGTCATCACGGTCCTGACCCTCGTCCCTGTTCTCATCAAGACTTACCGGTCCAGGCAGCCCGTGCACGAACAATACGCGTGCAGCGCAGGAAAAAGAATGCCAAGGCCATTTCAGGCCGTTGAAATGAATGCCAAGGCCATGGGAATTTGATGCTGAAAGCGAGTCTCGCTTCTCGTTGTTTCTTCTTGGGCACACGTATTTGAATTTGTAAAGTACTATCTTCCAAATTGGGGTATTCCTGGTTTGGTCTATGTCCAAAGGTCTTGAGCCACAAAAGATGCGATCATTTGATTTGCTTCAAATTCCCACATACCCTCAATCATCGCATCACCATGGGGTCTTACCAAATAGGACAGGGAGTCCGGGGAGTATCAATGTTGCACGCTGCAGGTTTCAATCAGGTGTTCTTGGTGTTTGCATGTGCTTCGAGTCAGCAGCAAAGGAGCAGGGGACAATGAGCGACTGAGCAGACAGGCCTCCAAACACTGGGTGCATTGCTTGGCACCTTTCTTAGAGCTCTTCAGGATTCCGGATTCAGTCTGCAGCTTCATGATTTGCTGTTTGGCATCACCAAGACGGAAGAGCCGGTCAGGAAAGCATGTCCTTGTTGATGTTTCAGTTAAAGCGCTTGCTATATAATTTTACGGCACTTCAATCCCGTTGGCCGAGGAGCCAAAGGTTGGCCTCAGGCGTGGCGGGAGAGGGAAGGTGATATGGCTGTAAAAGTGCTGTGAGTTTTTAGAACATGGGGTCTCTGCAAGTGATGGTCGACGGTATGCCATGATTTTTGTATTGACACAGAACATGTGATTGAATTGACATGACCTTGGCATCTCCACACATTGCAGATGCTTGAGTGTGGTGTGAGCGTTTGGCCGGGCTGGTAAGCTGCCAATCGTTGCTGAGCATTCAGCCAAGCGTCCGAGTGCTTGACGAGGGGCGCCGGAGCTGCGCTGCGCCTTGGAACGACGCCCCACCTTTTGCCAGAGAGCGAAGACATAAATTTAGAAGAGGTGCAGAACAAAAAGCAATTGAGTAGAGAAATAGATAGACAGATGAAAGACAAAGAGAAGGAAGAACGGAATAGAGAAAGGAATGAATGCAGACATAAATACAGCAAGACACAAACAATGAAAGAAAGACAGTAATGGAAAACGGAAAGAAAGAAGGAATAATGCAGGAAGAAAGCAGAACTAATGGAAAGGAAGAAAGACTGGAAGGAAGAAAGAAGGGAAGGAAGGAAGGAAGGAAGGAAGCGCCATGAAATAGATAATGAAACAAATAAAGAAAGAAATATCAAGAAAGAAAGGAGTTGCGGACGCAACGAAGAAGGAAGCAAGTAATAACGAAAGAAGGAAGGGAATAAATGCAGAACTAATTCAATAAAGAACGAAGGAAGGACTGAAGAAATAAAGACATAAGGAAGAAAGGAGCAAACAAAGACGGAGTAAAGGAAGACATATAACAAGAAGAATCGGAAGAACAAAGAAAGAAAGAAAGAAAGAAAGAAAGAAAGAAAGAAAGAAAGAAAGAAAGAAAGAAAGAAAAACAACAAATGAGAAAGAGAGAACCAAACAAAAAAATAAATACATACATAGTTAAAGAACAACGTAAACATTGTTTTCACAAAAATATCAAGACATAATCGCAGCCTTGGGCCTTCAAACATCTTCAATACACCGGGATCCTTCTGATGGCCTCAATCCTTCGGCTTTTCCGACGCCTCGACAGGCCCCGTGGCTCCTTGGCGAAATCCATGACTTGAGGCAGGGATTTGCACAGGACCTCGAGAATACAGTTTCTTGGAGACATCAAGTGGCTATGGGCACTGACACGGGAATATTCACAGCCCGGACTCTTCCGAGTGGTTGTGTGGAGGCAAATCTTTGCTGAACATCCATCAAGGCCCCAAGTGCCATTGGGCAAACTCTTTGGAAGATGAGAGACGAGACGAGCTGGGACAATGATAATATGTCTTAGAGTTCATGTCCAGGGAATGGCTCTTGGGTGCTCACCTCATCTCATCTCGCGTCCTGGTGAGTATCCTGAGTGTGTCTCTAATTGTAAACGCTTCGCGTTGCCCGCCTCGGCCCAGCCTAGTTTGAGGGAAGGGTCAGGACCACCGAAATCCAGTGTTGGGAAGGTCCGAATCCTACTGAAAGCTTGTGACCGCACCAGTTCGCCCGTGCTAGTTCGATGTTCGGAAGCCGTCCTGCTCGGAAGGTTTGAAATCCAAAACCAAGACTATCTCAGCTGCTCAGTGCCCTTGGAAAAAAAAGGACCTCTTTCTGGGGATGAGCATTTTTAGTGGGGCTTGGCCTCCATACAAAGGGGAACAATAATTGGTGTCACTGAACAACCAAGACCAACTTTGGGTGTTTGGGCACCTCCATTTCACGTGGCTGGCGGCTTGCCATGACATACATTTCTTGCTCGGTTGCTCAGCCCAAGACAGGTACATGGTGGGAATACAAACCTCCATTTGCTTAAGTACCCCGGAAAATATCCCCAATAGACACGCCAGCAGGGACTGGGCCTGAGGCTAGTCTCAGGCTGGCATACCTCCTTGAGACGCCGAAGGGGCTGAACCTGCTGACACGAGCAGGAGGTCAAGGTTTGGTCAGCCTGGGCTGAGCTGCTTGGGCAGCCGGACTGGGGGGCTGGGGCACGTCAGACAGGCTTGGTAGCTGTCTACGCCAACACGTGAGACTGGTCGTTGGCCTGAGGCCAGTCTCAGACACGTTAGACAAACCTGACCTTGGCACGCTGGGCTGAGCGGCATGCCCTGAGATGCGCCGGGGCCTCGGCTGGGCAGGCTGGGCTGAGGTGGGTTGCTGGTTGGGTTGGGCCTGAAGCTAGTCTCAGCCACGAGGCTGCGAAGCCATGGGTGGGTTGCTGGCTGCCGGGCAGCCGGACTACGCTGCTGGTTGCGCCTGCAACTTGGGCTGGGCGGGCTGGGCTGAGCTGTGCTTGGGCGGGTTGCTGGATGGGCAAGGCCTGTTTCATACACACTTGGGCCTGAGGCTGGGTGGCGAGCTGGCTGGGCTGGGCCTGAGGCCAGTCGCAGACACGTAAGACACGCCAGGCGGGCTGAGGGACTGGGCCTGAGGCGCGCTGAAGGGCTTGGGGCTGCTGGATGACTTGGGGCCAGACGCGAGCAGGAGGTCAAGGTCTGGCCAGCCTGGGCTGAGCTGGTTGGGCAGCCGGACTCAGGCTTAGTAGCTGGCACAGCTTGAGACCAGTCTCGAGGCCTGACCTTGGCACGCTCGGCTGAGCCTGCTGGTGGGAGCTGGGCTGAGATGCGCCGGGGCCTGGGCTCTACGGGCTGGGCTGAGCTGTGCTCAGGCCTGTTTCATACATATTTGGGCCTGAGGCTGGGTGGGCCTGAGGCCAGTCGCAGACACGTAACACACGGCAGTAGTCTCAGGCTGGCACACTTTGAGACCGGGCCTGCTGGATGACTTGGGGCCAGATGCGAGGCCTGGGCTGAGCTGCGTAGCTGGACTGAGGGGCTGGGGCACGTCAGACAGGCTTCGTAGCTGGCGTAGCCTGCTGGTGGGCTGGGAGCTGGGGGCCGGCCTAGTGGGCCTGGGCTGGGCTGGGCTTGCAGGATGACTTGGGGCCGTGCTTGGGCGGGTTGCTGGTTGGGCTAGGCCTGTTTCAAGCTTGGGCCTGAGGCTGGGTGGGCTGGGCTGGCAGGCCTGGCCAGCAGGCGGGTTGCTGGTTGGGCTGGGCCTGAGCCTAGTCTCAGACACGTCAGACAGGCCTGGCCAGCAGGAGGTCATGCTTTTCAGGACAAAAAAGCAATTTTCTGTATTGTCAGTTTGACAAAAATGGACCCATGGAGCTGGACGCCGACGAACCCCGAAAATTTCAAGGCCCGCCGGACAGGATTGGGGGGGGGGGTGGTCTGGCACAATTTTGGTTGGGGAGGGGGTTGGGGGAGGGGAAAAGCGAAGATTCTCTTTGGAGAAGAGATCTGAGCGCTTTGGGGCCGAGGCGAATATCTCTTTTTGACATCCTTCTCTTCACCCTTTTCATATGCGAGAGAAAAAACATGGGAGGAGATGGGACAAGGAACGACAAGGCTAAGTTGTGCCATGGTTGTGATATTGATTCACAAGTGCTGATTATTGAAATTCGTTTGAGTGAAAATCCTTCTGCTGCATGCCATTGCAACTTGCAACCAGTTATTCACTACGCAGGGGCAGACGATGGCTGAAACAGTGGAGAGCCACGACCACCTTTTTTGAACATGAAAATCACGTGTTTCTTGGCACATGCATGTTTGCCTCCATTTCGGTTTTGGCTTTGTATAGGTGTGCGTGTTGCACTGTTGCCTGCACAGCGCTCGGCTCAATACGGCCTTGGTGGATTTAAACATGTTTGGTTTTTGCTTGCCACAATGTCCACAAACGGTTGCCACTTGCCACTGGCATACATGCTTCACATGCCCTGTATGCTCTTGTGAGAGATTCCTTTTGTGCAATGAAGTCCACGTACACGCGAGCTCACTTTTGCTGCAAGCTGACATGGATTGATTCCAAGCTAATGCTCAATGCTGAAACACTCACATGCCCACGCATCTACAGCCCGTACAAAGGGGCAGTTGCACCATGCGTCAGGGAATAGATGCAACAGTCGCTTTGCCTTTTGCTGCTCAAAGGGGTCACTGAGAGCGTAGCTCCTAGACCCTAGCAAGAAAAAACATACACAGACAACAAGTCGGGCATGGCACTTTCCACATTGGTGCTAGTCGATTGCCCATGTGTTTGTATGTCTTTGTTTTGCTTTACTGACGTGGCACGGAACGTCACAAGGCTGGGGATCCGCAAGTTGAACATTCAAGCACATCACGAACGTTTGGTACCGGAAGCTTTAGGGAGCCTGCGCGGGGGAGGGCCCCGGGTGGCTTAGGGATATGAGGGATCCGTGCCTGGGCTGACTCCGATGAAAGAGGCACGTTCAGACACGAGTGAGAAGGTCCAGAAGCAGGTTACGCCCAAGTCGCACCCGCGGCGACTTTCGCGGACGTCGAGGACAGCGTCCAGCTTAAACCAGCGCCGCGGCATTGTGCCGCAAGGCACCCAGGCAGGGTCCAAGCGGTCGTACCGAGATCAGAAATTTGAAATGCTAAACATGTTTTGCGGGGTGGTCCGGATTCTCATGAAAGTACTTGTGAAAGCAAGATGGTTGTGTGGTCCGATTCATGCCCCAGGTGACGCGAACAGGACATGCCAAGCACAAGCGCGGCGTGGTCATGGTGGTGAAACCCGCCTCGCAAGCGTCCTGGCGAGGAATTTTTGAGCCTCATAATTCTTGTGTGGATGCCGTTCAAAATCGATCTTCGGCTTGATACTACTGCACACGTGTGCTCATCCGAAGAGACGTCTTACGCCTGCGTTTGAGGCTTGAGCTTTACTTACTGTGCCAGACGCTTGCCACCAAGTCAATACCTGAAACCATGTCAATTCAATTTGGATGCAGAGCTGCTTCCCAATAAAGTACCACCTGATTGCAACAGTACAGCTCCATTGGTTCACATGGGGCCTCTTGAAGACAGTCTTTCGCTTCAGTTTTACAATCTCCACCACTGGCCAGGCCATGCTGTGTATTCCTTTGATTATGTGGATTTTCAGGCTCAATTTTCAGCCAGCGTGTATTCCTCAAGGAACTCTTGGAACTTTGACAGCCCGGTTGACCCCATGAAATCGGGGCAATTCTTGGCAGGGGGAAGGTCGGCCGTTCCCACGCTGTTCCTCGAAGTTTGGCCGAGCGCTGCAGCTTTCCTTGGAACTTGCCCTGGAACTTGCCTTGGCTTCTTGACTCTGGCTTGCCTGCTTTCGCGTCGATCGAGAATCGAGGCCTATGTGCTGTGCGGGGCGATGTTGAGCAACTTAGCTGTATCTTGCTGGGCCCTGGGGCGCTTTTTGCCCAGAGCAGTTGATCTCCTCCCAATTGTGGCAAGATCTGCACAAGGCCTGTATCCTATTAATATTTGTCTTGTTTATTTTTATTATTCTATTATTATTAATTATCTTTATATTTGTATTTATTATTTATTGTTATTTTCTATTTCTTTTATTATTTACATTTTGTATTATTTATAAGTCTTTATCTTATTGTCTATTTTATCTTTTAATATTTATTTTATTTTATTATATTTATTAGTCTTTTCATATTTATTATTCTTGGTTTTTATTATGGAAATTACATTAGAGAAATATCTGGATGAAATGATAGTAAAGAAAGAGACAATTATTTTCATCTGTTTACATCTCCAAATCCTCTAAACGTAACCAAGTAATACCAAGGAAAGCTATTCTAGAGATTTGGAGGTGTAATTGGTTGGAGTCATGACATGGTTAATCCCTTGCCTTCCGGCGTCTATTTCTTATGTTTGGCCGACAATGTCTGATACCAAGAAGTAAAAGCCAACATAGTCCCTCCTCCCCCAAGGCAATCAATGTTCTCCGAGCAAGCTTTTAGCCTTGGACTTGCAACTTGGCTTCCTTTGTTGCTTGCTGAAGGGTGTGTGTGTGTGTGTGTTTTTGGAGGGTGCCCATTTCACCTTTTGAAACAAAAGCCACAAGGACGCCCCGAAATCCATCGGCTTTTTCTTAGGTAAGCACGGGCAGTGGCTCTCTGAGCAGCAGTGGCCCATGCTCCTGGCCACGGTCCTAGCGCTGGCGCTGAACGCGGGGGAGCACTTCGGGATCTTCGGGCGCATGGTGCAGGCGCCAGGTGTCCACGGCCCCGAGCCCCGGCAAGCACGAGGCGAGTGCTGGATGGCCTCCCCAAACCGTATGGGATAGACAGCAACTGTATGGGTAGAAACCGTCTTAGAAGTGTAGCGTTTTCCTTTCTTGTACCTTTTGTCTGAGGTTGTGTCTGTCCGGCATGTCTTCACACGTGTTGCAGTTTGCATAATTCCATTCTTTGAGTGTCCGCTGTGTCTGGGTCCACCTTCAAATCAACAAATGGAACCCCAGCGGGTTGTGATTGGCTTTGACCTGCTCCAAACTACAGGGCGGATTTTAGGGCAAAAGTACCATGCGCTCCTTTCTTCCTGAGTAAAGAGGATTGTCGCAACCTTGATCCAGCAGTCTAGGAAACAGGGGGAGAAAAGAGGGTCTGGGGCCTAGCCTGGGGTTGCAATGGGCACACAGCACTGCCTGTTAGCCTGTGGCCAGGCACTTGTTCAGAAGTTTCAGTGTCAGTTTCCGGGTCCAATGGATACAGATCTTGGATGGGCCATGAAGTTGTTGTGATAAGTTACCGTCGTGGTCAGGCGGGGTGTGCGGTGTCGCTGACGGATGGCCATGAAGCAATCTGATCTAGATGTTCTTTGGCCTCGTGCCGCGAGCCCCCTCAAATAGGCACAAGCCTCATTCTCTCGACCTGTGCAGCATTGCGCACCTTCTCTCAACTGGGTCAAGACACCATGGGGCATCCTTGTGTTCATAAGACCGAGTGTTGACCATGGCACATTTGGCATGCTGCATGGTTGGGAGGTGGCTTCTAGCCGCTTTTCTTCCAACAAGCAAGTAAGAAGATGGATTGTCATTTTGCCGCAGCCTTGAATAAGCAATCAGAGCGTTTCCAAGCACCAAGAAGTTCTTAAATCATCCACTTTCAGGTACTCATGTGGGAGCCCACAGCATTATCCTGGACGATGACGGGGCTGACATCTTTGTCTTTCAGCCTGGCTATCCTCTGTATGATGACGCGCCCTGCCAACAGACAAAACAGCTTTCCCCCCTGTTTTGAGATAACACACTTTGCGAACTCTTTTCCATGCTTCTTCTGTTGCCTCACCCGGCATGTGTCCTTTTCAGGTGAAAGCACGTCAAAATGTTCTGAGCTTCTCCAAATTGTTGGTTTCCTCGTAGGCGCGTCACGGGGCGCGCTTGTGACTTTGTGCGAATCGAGCCATGACACGTTCTTCAATGGTAGTATGGCTGCCGCTTGCAGGGTCCAAGATCCGTGTGCAGATCCCAGACACGTGGAACGAATGGATCACCCATCACGCAGGGGGTGTCTGCCTTTGCCGGGTTCAGTGTGTGCAGGAACCTTCTGGGCATCACTGGCGGATACCACTTCATGGAGTTCGCGCTGTTTTCACACATGACAGGATGCTACATGACATGGAGCAGGCGTACTGCTTTGTGGGTCCTCGGCGGGATGCCCTGTCGGGTTCACCCTTTGCCAGAAAGGGGTTCGCCGCCCAATACTGCCTGCAGCCAAGCCGGATGTTCCACTGTCTTTCGGTAACGGCCTTGCGCACCGCCTTCCGAGCTTTGTTGCGCGTGCAACTTGAGGCCCGTTGTTCCTCGCCCTTGTTTGACGCGATCCTCGCGCAATGGCGCTGAGCTGAACTGACATGGACTTGTCCACCTCTGCGTGCGGAGGGCGGGCGACCGAAGTAAGCGAGGCCTGTTGGCTATCCGATTGCGAGCGAATCAGACCGCCTTGTCAAACATTTAGAGAGATGTCAGAACCCCTGGTTCTGCTTCACTTGAGGTTGGAAAGCTAACAGCAGCCCATTAAGCCGTTGCTATTTCCACGAGACTCCGAGCCTCCGGCTTGCGTGGCCAAGTCTTCACGGCAGGCTTAGCAGCCCTTCACCTGAATGCGATCCTTGATTTCTGGTTGGCCTTGAGCGAAGAACCAAGCCAAACCAAACCGACCCCATAGCCTGAAAGCAAGTTAATCCTCAAACCGGTTTTGCGCACCCACGCTACGAGGCGGGTGCACAGCCAGCTGCTGTGGCTCACGCTGAAGAGCTTCGACCCCTGGGCCATCTTCGCTTGCACCTGGGTCCACGTGACCATTTTCCTTTCCCTTTGGCTATGATTGTTCACTCTCTTATGGATCAACAACAAATGGAAACCATCTAACATCCCTTCCACGCAGCAAGGTATGGGGCGGGCCTGGCTCGCCCGGCTCTTCGCCGGGCTTCCGGAGTTGAAGCGACGAAGGGAGCGCGAGGCTGTGCACATGACCCTTTGGCCAAAGCAGGGGACGGGCTTGAGAAACACCCAAGCCCCGATGAAAAAAGTCGCATCTAGTCCATCTTGTAGGTTCCGGCGAGCTGGTTGCTACCATGAGGAGTGTGTGTGGTTTTGCAGCCCTTTGTGGGCTGCTCAGTTTTGACGAAGCCTTCAACTGCAGATAATCTTGTATTAGGATTACAAATCTCTGGTACATCTTCATGTCTCGCATCTCTTAGCTTTTGGACACTAGTTCTAAGCCTGAGTTCTAAATCTGAGTTCTAAATCTGAGACCATCCAATTATCTCGTTTCTCTTTCTTGATTGCAGCTTGCACGCTTTTAGTAACATACATATCTTATCTGAACGCACTTCTTTTAATGTTGCGTGATCTTCATTCTCATACTCTTTTCTTTGATCCAACATTTGGAGGAGATCCTATTTTCTATCAACATCCATAAACTTACATCTTAATGTTTCCTGCATTTGGGATCATCACCGTAGTAAGTTCTGGGATTTTACAGTTAAAGGCCATTGGTAAGCAATCGATGACCTTTGCCATGTCATCTGTTTCTCCTTTGGGAAGTCTTGCTTGGGGACATCAAATGTATACTGCGCGTTTACAATTTGATACAATAATTTATTGCACAGGAACTACAATCTTAGTATCGCTGCCAACCGGTACAAAGTCTTTAGTCGTTTGTTTTTCCGTGTTTTTTTTTCTTTTCTTTTGTTGTCCTTTTTTTCTCCTGCTTTGTTCCTTTTGTTTTAAGCATGTTACACCATTAGAATTACTCCTGTCTTATTCTTTCTTCTCGTGTCTTAATTGGTGTTTTCTGCAGGAATTCTTTCTTTAGAAGCTACAAGTCTGTTCTTTCCTGGAAGAATCTTCCATGCAGAAAAGGTTGTTGGTACGAATTAGCTATTTGCATCCTCACCCACACTCTCTCTCTCTCTCTTTAGCATTGCAATCGAATCTTTATTGCCATTCTGCTTGCTTTTTCCCCAATGCATTTCTTAGGAGTATATGTTTTGCCAAGAAGAACCCCCTCCTTTCCAGATTCTTCTTTTCATTCCTGGAACTACCTGTCATCTATTGGATCAGGAATAAACACTTTCCTATCCTGTTCATTCTCTTTCTTCACCTCTTTCACTTGGTGTTTTTTAATCTTCCTTCTTCCTTCTTTCTATTATCCTTTCCTTTCGTCTATTTATTCTTGACCTTTCCAACATGAGGAGCAGACAGATACACTGATGATATACGCAAGGAATGTGACAGCTTATAAGGAATCTCTGTTCCAAGATTTCTATCCTTCTTTTTCATTATTTGTCTATTCCCATCTCTTTGCAGTTCGTTCACCCTCATATCTTCCCCAACCAAAATATAAAGACAACTAAGGATAGGATCATTGGTGCGGAAGAGAGAGTGGGCTGCAGAGGTCACGGGTCATCCCCTTTACAAAGCTAATTCTCAATGTTGAGAGGGATGACCATTGAAAACTGTTTGTGGCTCCAGGATTAACCTGCTGCAACGGCAATATGGTGGAGGCTTACCAGCCTCACGTTTGATCTAGTTGCGCTGGTTGATGTGATCTGCTTGAGGCCGCCGAGGGTTGCAAACATGATCAAGGGGTTGTGCGTCACATCTGGCAGAAGTGAGGGCTCCGCTTTGGCTTGCTCAAGTCCCTTTGAGAAGAACGGAGCTTGCGTCGTAAATAAGGAGGGCTTGAACCAATTGGGCACCTCCAAATCGGAGGGCGCCGAGAGTTTGAGCATGATAGGAGCAAAATTGCCACCAGACAGAAACCGACGTGCCCAAGCTGCTCTGGCTCCAATCAACCGCAAATGAACATGGCAGCTGGGGATGTTGCCCCGCTGTGCTCTCAAACTTCACCCAGCCACAATGGCAGTGGAATCGTGTTGGACAACGTCTCCAATGTTGTATCTGTCCTACATCCTTGATTGATGTTTGGCATATCAAGTCTACGTCGCATCGCATTCATGTTTCCATGTTTTAAGCCAGAACTTCTCGCTGGCGTGCATGAACCTAGGATAGACTTGGTGGTGATGATGCAGTACGCCGCCTTGCTGGTCCTGGCTGAGGCGGCGGACGTGCCGAAAAGAGTCAAGAGCCTTCTGGTGCCTCTGGCGAGCGAGTAGCGGGGGCCTTTTTTTTGTTTTTCTTCTAAAGAAAACTGTTTGCAAAGCAGAGCTCAAGGACTCCCTAGTTGTTGGGGGGGGGGGGGGGTTGTGCAGTGATCAGAATTCCTCATGCGTCGAATTCGGTGATGTGGCAAGTCCATGGGCCACAACTGAAATTGTGCCTTCCGTGATGTGTTTTTTGTCTTTCATTATGTTTTCTTGCTTTCTTGCTCATGCTTTCTTGTTTGCTCGATTTCTTGTTTGCTTGTTTGCTCGATTTCTTGCTTTCTTGTTTGCTTTTTGAGTTGTTTTTTGCTTTCTTGCTTTCTTGCTTTCTGGATTTTCTTGCTTTCGTGCTTTCGTGCTTTCTATCTTGCTTTCTTGCTTGCTTGCTTACTTGCTTTCTTGCGTTCTTTGTTTCATGTTTGCTTGCTTTCTTGCTTTCTTGCTTTCTTTCGTTCTTGCGCTCCTGCTTTCTTGCTTTTCTTGCTTGCTTACTGTTTTTGTTTCGTTTTGTTTGGCTATCTTGTGTCTTTCCAATGATGTTTTTGTATTTTTTTGGGTGATTTTTTAATTGTGTTTTGCTTTCTTTTTTTTTTTTCTTCTTTCCTTCATTCATTATTTCTTTCTTTCTTTCCTTCTTTCTTTCTTTCTTTCTTTCTTTCTTTCTTTCTTTCTTTCTTGCTCTCTTTCTGCATTTATCTTTGAACTCCTGTACTTCAAGCCCCTGCTTGCAAGACCAACAACACAGTGGTGGGTTGTGTGTCGCATCTATCATGTGTGTCGATTTATGGCTTCATTTAGCATATGGGTACTTCAATCAAATCACGGTCACGCTAGGCTCGCAACCCTGCAAACTGCGCGTTTTGTTTTGGTCTTCTTGGTATGCCGCCTTTGAAGCCACATGGGGTACATGAGTAAACATTTACATTGCATGCCTTTAGCTTCCTGTCTTCAGTAATCACTCGAACATGTTGAGGCCCAACACCCTACAATGCGGTGCGTTGCTCCAGGAACTTTCAAATCAATCACAGTTGTGCTTGCCCCAGAACTCAATTTCGGTGCTTGGCTACAAGGGCTGCCCGCACCCCGGTCAAGTCTGTCCACTGACTAGGGATACGTCATGATTCCCTGCCAGTTGGTTCGTTTCCATTTTGTCAGCATTCATGTCTAGCCAGCAAGTTCGCAGTCCGCAGATGGCACAGTCAGGCGAGTGTGAATTGATTGAATCAGGTCTTCGCTTTCGTGCGCTCTGTGATGGTGACATTTTCCTTCAAAAGCCACAGCCTGCTTTTCTCATTCATATTGATTTGGCTGAGAGGGCCGGCTCAGGAAGCAAAGAAGAGCACCTTGATCAAATGCTCTGGGTGCTGCAGGGGTGTTTGTGTTCATTCGGGTGATGGTCCAACTTGCCCGCGTTCAATGGGAACATGCTCCTTTGCCCAGGCATTCATGAACTCAAGACAGAGCAGTATGTTTTGCGTTATTGAAATCCATGCAGCGCGCTGTCGAGCTCAGGTGGCCATATGCATGCTTCACACGATGCTGTTGGCCCTCTGCACCAAGTATTATGAGATGCCCAACTGGGATCCTGGAGTCGAGCTAACAATCCTCTTCTTCCCGCCGATGTCACCAAGGAGCCAGCGAACAGGTGACCTCGGTTTCCAACACTTTGACGTTGGTTTGCACTATCTTAGTGGATTCTAGTGTATCGAGGGTGTGAGGCAGAGGAGATCCAAGTCTACACTTTCCGAATCAACTCTCCAATTGGCATTGGCGAATTGGAGATGCCACGCCCACTTGCATGCAGACTCATGGCTTGGTTGCAGACTGCCTCAGATCAATACCAATCTTCAAGAGGGCGGCAGGCAGACCGCCAAGCCTCCCATATTCTTTTTTGTTGACCGCTTACCTAAAAAGAGAACCCGGTGGGTGAAGTCCAGCATTGAGGTTTAGCATAATGCAAGACAAGCACGCCAACATTCAGCAATGTCCTGAGCCAGCAGGACCATGCGGCATGCCAAGAAACATTCGATACCTGTTAAGTTAGCAAACTCTGCGCTCTTTGTTGGTCTTCAATCTTGTCTTCAATGATTATAACAACAGCCAAAGAGCACATTTGTCTCTTGGCCGCTCAAGGCATTCCAGAAAGAACGGTTCTGTGGAGACAATGAAACAGGCACGCCCTTACATCCTTGTCTTCGAAGGAGTCAATTTGTGAGCTCCCTGGAGTGCATCATAGTTCTTCTGGCCAAAGCTGCAGTGAGTGTGGTCCTGCAGAAGAACGCCTTCATGTTTCTGCGGTGTCACTACGAGTTTTGCACCGATCAGCTGGACGCAACCTTTGCCAGGCTTGCGATGACAGATCCAAGCAACATCCAGTACGGCGACTTTCGCGCGGTCCTTCTGGAATGGGGGGTGACGGAAGGCCACATTTTTTCGGGCTTCAACTATTTGGATCATGACTCTTCTGGAAAAGTCTCCTTGAGGAGATTCCGGGAGTGCTTGTCTGACCTCTTCGCTGAGTTTCCGGATGCGTCAAGCTCCTCGCTGCTTGCCAGATTCTGCCAGGATTGCTATTCACAGGCTTCACACATCACGTCATTAGACAGCATGATGAGCATTGTGTTCAGCCACTGGCGCCGTATCAAGCTGGACCAGTTTGGGACGATGATGTACCAGATCTTGACGCAGGATCAGGCAATCGCCAAGGTCTTTCAGAGAGATCGCACGCACACGCAGGCAGGAACACAAAGGTCATGGGGGCCAGCGACGATTGCCCTGCATTTTGCGGCCTTGCTGAGGTCTTGGTGGTTTTTCATGAAGCGAGAAAATCAAGAGCTTCTCCCTGAGGCCACTTAGAGCCAGTGGAACCTTCCTGAAAGCACGCCAGGCGTTGCTTTTCTCAGCCTTCACGGCGGTGGCTTTGAGCCGCTTGGAGGAGAGGGACTACGTCGTCATCGAGACACAGATGATCGAGCTGGGGCTCAGGCACAAGGCACGGGGGGGCACAGGGACACGGGCAAAAGGACATGGTGTGGTGGTTTTTGGGGCTTTCCCTTGCCGGGCAAGCAACGGGCACAGAAGTCAGGCTGTGACGTTCAGTCACGAGAATCAATGTGTCGACTGGGGACCCTTGATGAACCTGCCGTGCTAGCTCAGCACCAAATTGGCTCGCAAGGTTCGAAATGTTTTCGAGCTGCGCCCTTGCCGGGCAAGCCGTCTCAGGCGTACGGGGTTCGCCCGACCTTCCTGGGGCTCTTTGAGCTGGCACTCATGGAGACCATCAACCACCAGGTGAATGGCCTATCCTTGCGGGGAGAGCTGCTTTGGCGCCACCCCTTTTTCGGATTTCTCCTGCCTTTCCACCTTTGCCCCCTTATGCTTAGCAGCGGTTGTCCGGTTTCCGTGTTAGCCTCTATTCGTTTTCCTGGACCTGAGGCTGGCCTGGGCTATGATTTGGGGCCACTACGTGGTGCTGCCCTTGCTCCATGGACTTGTGGACATTGAGACGCTGAAGCCTCAGATTTACGACCACGTGCACGATCTGCTCAGCTTGACGCATGAGGACTGAAGGGTAATGTCTTCAACTTGATGCATTCAGAGATCATCCGTCGGCACCATGCCGTCGCATCGTTTGAACGCAAACCGTGCCGATGCCGGTGGTGAACTGTTGCATGCTGCTGCGCGAAGCCTCATGAATGCAGGCCAAAACCAGGCCTGACTGATTTAGGCAAATCTGAATGGTCATCCTCAGGCGTGAGTGGCCCGAGCTAGCCATTCAGGCCTCTGAGAGTCTCGCGCGTGCTCACAGACGACTTGATGTAGGCACCGCCCCTGCAAAGCATGTGAACTGAAGGCCCCGGGTCTTTGCTTTCGGCGTGTCTAGTCTCCTAGTCTCTTGTGGGACAGTTTCCGTTTGAACAAGCTTGCCGTCAACGCAATCTGCAGCACAAGCTGCTGTCTGAGCGAGTAGTCGTTGATACACGTCCTTTTCAGGCATTCGTTGCAGGGTATCTGCTTTCTCGAAGCGATATCAAGGCCATCATCACCTGAACAGCGAACAGTGTAACAGGAATGACACATGATGTTGTGGCTGAACATCTTTGAGCTTAAGCATGTGGTTGGTCCAATTCCATCGTTGGATTGATAGTCTGGCTTGTTTCAACCAAGGATGCAGCAGATATGCGACAATAATGAAGCACGATGACAAAAATGATGCTGTGTAGCGACGGATTTGTAGAAATTTACTGGCGGCGCCGGTTTCAAAGATCTAGCGCCCGCCCGTTGCCCAGGAGCGCTTTTTGACGGTCCTCACCAAGAATATGCATCATGTCCCAACCGGATCCTGGAAGGTGTCGTGTGCCGAGGAAGGACGCCAGACTAAGAAACGCATGCTGGGAACAAAAGCTGGGGGCTGCAAAGCAAAAAATTGGGCAGGTTGTCAAAATAAGGAGACCCAAAGATGGTTGGCTTTTCTTTCATGCCTCCCTTCAAGCCAGCCCGAAAAAGGGCACCCTCCAAAGATACGTTTGCGCGCAACATGTCTTTTTAGTCCTCTGGCAGCAAGCGGAGGCTGCCGTGCCGATTGCCAGCTTGACTAGCCGCTCATTGAGCAAACAAAACACATGCTGTTGGAACAGGTATCTCTTTTTTGGGGGCCCCCGAAGTATTCTGCTTCTTTTTGGAGGTTGCAACAGACCATTCCCCTGGTGCTTCACCAAGTGTTTTGCGACGGATTAACATCATGTTATGTAACATGAAGTCTGCTACTAACAATAAACAATATCACATCAATTCTCGGTGTGGTTTTTAGGATTGAATTCTTCATTTGAACAACACATCAATATAGGCTGACTCTCAACAAGTCAGTAAACATGCTAGCTTGGCTTTCGGCTTACATGAGAAATGCCGCAACAAGAACCCTAACCTAACCAACTGGATTCTGCCTTTCTCTTCCTCCTCCGCTTCCTCTTTCCCATTCTCTTTCTTTTTCTCCTCCTTTTCTTGCTCTTTCTCATTTGGCTTTGTCTCTGTCTCTTGCTCTGTCTCTTGCTCTTTCTCCTTCTCTTTCTCCTTCTCTTTCTCCCGCTCTTTATTTTCCTCTCTCTCTCTCTCTGCGCCTTCCTGCTTTCTCTTTGTCTTTCTCTTTCTTTTTCTTTTTTCCTTCTCATCTCTCTCTCTCTCTCTCTCTCTGTTGCTCTCTGTTCCTGTCCCTCTCTCTCTCTCTCTTTCACTCTCTCTGAGTCTCTCTTTCCAGCCCACGAAAGCTGAGAATGCAAAAAAACACGTTTTCAAGGTTGACCCCCCGAAAATCCGCAGAGGGTTCCGAGAGAAGCAAAAGGAAATACGCGAGTTTGCTAAGCTCAACCCAACAATATGTCCGCAGAGGGTTCACCTTTTGATAGTTGCGCACCCGCCGGAAGTAAGTAGAGGCTTCAACTTTGCATGGATGGTGGCGCAAGTCGGAACAAATACGAGTTGTTTGAGCAGAAGCTACACGAACCAAGTGAAAATTGTAAAAAATACAAATAACAACAAACAAGTATCCGAGACTCAAAGTGCGCAGAGGGTTCACCGATTGAAAGCTGCGAAGCAGTGCACGCGGCCGTGTCAATAGTCCCGCCCGTGAGCCCGTTCCGAGACCGCTCCGGGACCGCCTCTGTTAGGCGTCGTAACCGAGGTTGTTTGCTCACAAGCGGCAGAGCCGAATTCATGCACAGGGCATACGTTTTCTGCCTCTTGCCACTCCTGTTTTCTAGCTTTTTCTCGCGTTACGTAACGAATGTATTTCCTAGAGAGAGAGAGCTACCTCAATTACTTCTAGTGCTCCGGAAGTTTGTAGTTAAGGGTCCTTTGACTAAGATGCAGATGAATCGAAATTCAATTGGTTGGGGGTATACCGAGAGTTGTTTCCGGGCCAAGGAGAGCATATTGAAACCATGCTGCAGCTCACGAAGCAAATCTTGCTGGATTTGCAAGGGCCCTGCCCCTTCACGGCAGGCCAGCGCCTCAACCAGGACCGATATCCGGCACGGGATCCCATGCCTAAAGGGAAGGCTTCACAAGCGAAAAGACATTTTTTGCTTTGGAGACCGCATCTTGACCACACATTGCTTTGCCATTGGTCTTGTTTTCTGGCTCGCGAGGACTTCAAGTGGGACAGGATCCTGCCCCGCGATCTGCTGAGATTCTCCTACGCCATGGCGGAGACCTTTCGAGAGATCTTGGGTGCTGCGGCCCGGCGAGCAGTCGGATTGCGGTGGGCTCAATACCCACGCAGAGGAACCACACACGTTTGGACTAACCGTGCTGACTCCTAATGAAATAGTGCGCGTTTGTTGCTGTCAATCAATGCAACCTATCACTGCCTTCCCATTTTGCGTGCTTTGCTTGTACCCTTGCCCCCCTCAGCTCTGTATCCTAACCCCAGAAACCCAACCCTAAGCCTCTAACTCCTCGACCCTAAATCATCCTAAATTATCATCCCCACGTACAAATGCCAGTCTGAATTAAGCCTTTCAGTTTTGACGTCAACCAATGCCTTGAACGATTTAAGTTCTTGCAAAAGTTGCACTCTGACTTATTGTTGCACCTGGAAACACCAATTTGAACAAGACTAAAGTTGAGCTCCTGGGGGTTTAGGCCGCTATTGATTATTTCTTTTCGTTTCAGGAAATATTTGCCACGGGGGAGGGACATATTCGGAAAAGCAATGTCCAAAACCTACCTGCTTCAATGTACCGTTTTTTGTCCCAATTTTGGCGCATCCGCCGCGCATGCAAGTCCCGAGGTGGGGGGGGGGTTTGGGGGGGGTCAATTCCAAATCGAGCCTAGTGTTGCGACGCTTCGCGTCACTCGTCACTCCCTTGAGTATGTTTCGCGAGATGGCGTTTGCACTAAGGCCTACACCAGCACATTGGACACAGAATGGGCTGTCTTTATGCACGCCGAAGTGTTGGAGGTGCTGCTGCTCTCGCCGTACTTGCAGTCGCAGAAGGTGCCTTGGCGATTGGCGGCGGTGGGTGTCTGAAACGGGGATTGAGTGGTTGGTTGGTTGGGTTGGTTTGCTAGTTCGTTCGGTCGGTCTGTCAGTTTGTGGCTAAGCAGAGGGGGAACAGACAAGGTGTGGGACCCCAGCAGCACCGAACCTGTCTTCCGCTGATCCATCTAAGCTGGCGTGTTGCATTTTTGCGGTGATTTGAGCCCGAATAGGCCTGGTTTAGGGCGAGATTGAATCCGGTTTCGGCCAGGCTTGTTTTGCTTCGGGGCGAAACTTGGTATGATGACTCAGGTTTTCAGGTTGAATCTGGCACGGGATTCGGCTTGTTGGAGGGAGGGCTGTTTTGCGCTCGCTCGTGTGTGTGTGTGTGTGTTAGACATTTGAATCGAACCTGGTTTCAGCAGCATTGACGCCCATCCTTTTTGACTTTGTGACAAGACACTGTTTCACGATTTATGTGCATTGTTCAACTTTTTGGTATAGCACATTCTAGAAGTACACTCCTTGACTTGAATGTGCTCAAGCTGTTGCCACACCGGGTACGAATCAGTCCCCAGCATTGGCTTGCTTTCACCCTTAACATTCGGCACGCAGGCAGCAAAGAATTGGTAGGCGTGACCAGTTTCAGGCTGCTTTAAAGTGCACTGCGGAACACAAACTGGACCCATTGGAAAAATGTCGGAGGCTTTTCCCGAGTTGTGACTTCCTTCAACGTCTTTCTCCTTTCCTCCCTTTCTCTTTTCCTCCCTTTCTCCCTTCCCCCCTTTCTCCTTTCCTGCCCATTCCGTTCCTCCATGCCTTCCTTCCTCCATTCCTTCCTCTCCCTCTGGGTGAACCGCTTGCAAGTCCACCACAAAAGTCCACAGGGCGGCCCGTGAAGAGAGCTCAACATCTCAAGAAGCTTTCGCTCCGCGAGGTCCTGGAGGAGTGGGCCTTCCAACTGGGCGACAGCGTGGTGAGGGGGGAGTCCTGGGACGCCCTGCTGCTGCTGGCCCACTGCGACATGGAATTCGCGGAGCTGGGCTTTGCCCGCCTCAACGCGGACTCAGGGATGAACCCCACCATAGGCCTGCAGCATATTGGGATTCCGGCTGAGCGTTGCAAGTGCGGCGCTCCTTTCTCAACTCTGCGATTTTGATGCAGAACATGAGAGGTTTGTTTGGGGGTTTAGGCTGATTTTTGTGCACAACCACGGCATTTGCGCCTTTGCACCTGGGTGCCCCTGTGCTGGATTACCGTTCAGTGACATAGCAGGTTCCACCCACTTCGGAAGGCATTGCGACCGAACTGGTTTGTGATGCATCTCTCGGAGACAGGCCGTGAGGCTGAATTGGTGCCGGTGCCACGCGCAGGGAGCCTGATTAGTGCTCGGAGTTCGCCTGCTCGATAGTTCGCCTGCTCGGTAGTTCGCCTGCTCGGTAGTTTGCCACGTTTGGACACCTCATGCAATGCTTTAGAGCTTCACGCATTACGCGCTTGCGTTGGAGGTGCCACGCAGTAAGACTTGTAAATTGTGAATGGTATGAAACCAAAATTGCAAGGCCTTGCTCAAGGTTCCGGTCTAGCCTTTATAGGATCTGGGGCGAAGCATAGGTGGGATTGAGCTAGGCCGTTTTGCTCGGCCCCTGGTTTGAAACTGACACAAGCAATGGTGCGCGCCCGCTTGCTGGTTGTTCTTTGCGAACATTTTCCCCCACAACTGGGAGCCCAGCCAGGCTCCGCGGTTCCAAGGAAGGTTCCAAGGACGCACGGGGCGGTTCCGAGGAGGGTTAGGGGGACGCACGGAGCGGCTGCACGGCCCCAGTGGTCCCCGGTCCCCGGTCACCGGTCCCAGTCACCGGGCCCCAGTTGCTGTCGCGCCAGTTTTGCTTCGGGTAAACCCCTGGCATGCAAGTGACGGAAGGCAATGGAGTGGCTGCCAAGCGCAGTGCGCACGCTCTTGTAAGGACTCGTTATATCCAGCTCTGCTGTATAGTTGAAGAGGTGGCTAAAGCAACACTGGTGCCCCTGAAGGAAATCAATAGGCCGGCCAGCAAGGCACAAGGCGATCGTCCTTTTCAACAGAGAGGGTTCTTCTTCATCCATAGGCGCGACGCTGTGACACATGGGGCACCTGGATCAAACGCACCCTTTGATGAATGACGTGTTTCCTTGTGGCCAGAGCCCTTCACTTTGGGGGGGAGCTGAACACTGTGGGGTCGACTTTAGATCACGCGAAGCGAACCAGCATTGGGAGAGCTCCACCTTGGCGACTCGGAGTTTTGTGAAGGAGGCAATGGCTCGCTGATTTGCCAAAAGGCAAAGGCCAACACTCTGCGCAAAGCGACACAACAGTGTAATTGCTGAACAATCAGTATCTTTCCCAGACCAAAAAAACAACTTTTCAGCAAACACTTAGCAACTTCCAAGTTCTTTCCCAACAGCTGACAGCTATGGCAGGGGTCTCTGCCGGTGGGGGCTCCAGAGGGTTCCGTCAACCGCTCCCTCCGGGTCGGGCGTGCGGCTGCACCGCCGCCCCATGCCCAAGGCCACGCCCAAGGGTAACTGTGGGTCAGGTTCCTAGCGGTGTCTGTCGCAGGGCCCTGCTCTGCGCGTTCAGCACTGCTGGAGTCGTTATGGGCACCTGCTCATCTCCTGCGCTTCACGCGGTTGCCCTGGTGGCCACAGGTCGTACAGGTCGTGGGCTTGGCTGTTTGTCCTTTGGAAGTTTTGCGCTTCGGGCGGTTGTTTCGATCTCTCTGAGTGCCTCCGTCTCTTTCCTTTGTGCGTCGGTGGCTCTTTTGTGGTTTTAGTGGCCTTTCGATCCCACATTTGCTGCTTCGCTGGCACTGCCCTGGCGGCTCTTTGGCTTGCTTGCTCTCCTACCTTTGTCTATGGGCTTGGTGCATCGCTTTCTCTGCTTTGTTCGCAGATGTTGAATGCGATCTAGCTTGGCTGCCCTGGTGGCTCTGGGTCAGGGTCGCATGTGGCTCACCGTGATCCCTCCTTGGCTTTGGTGCAGTGCCTGAATACTCGCTTATTGCTGCCAGAATCCCATGTTTTCTTTCGATCTCTGCGCATGGTCCAGCCAGACTATGTTCTGTTGGGGATGAACCGTACCAGCAGTTGCCACGTTCGCATGGGTTGGGCTATCCTTCGGACATGGAACATATTTGGGACCCTGACCTTTGTGCCTGTCAACTGAGTTGGATCCAATAAAACGTCAACGGATAAGCTGAACACTTATGTTGCCAACGGGTTGAACAAGTGCTTGCCAGGCTTCACTCTGAAGAGCTTTCGCGAGCAGGGCATCCAGCATCCTACATGGAGCTTGAAGAGGATCTTGGAGACCTATTGCAAATCCCCAGCACCGCAATTTCAGTGAGTCGATCTTGCCGTCGGAGGGCGACTTGGAACCCAGGTTTGAGCGCTTTCCAGTGAAAGAATGCATGCCAATCAAGAATGAACCCTGACAGAACTGGCAGTTTTGCTTGAGTGGAAAACGTGAGTCACTTTCCCCGGGTCCAGCATCCTTGCACCTCAGGGCCTCGATTTTGGCGCCCAAGAGGTGCACAAGGGTCGCGCAATCTGAAGCAAGTATCTAGTTTAAACATGGTCATGGTGTGCCAAGGTTGGAACATGCAATTAGGAATTGACCACGTATGGAGCATGGAGCGAAGACTTTGTGTTGACCCCTGGACCCGTGGCGCATATGAGCCGAGACTTATCAAGTTGGGATCTGGGCCTTTGGTGCCTAGATCTCGATTCCGCTCGGGTGACTCCATTTCCTGAGCTCGCATCCCGGCATTTAGATTCATCGCGCAGCGATGGGTTTCCGGATTCATATTCGCTCAGAGCCCTGCAGGTGCCACGAAGTGGTCACTTTGAACCAATCGGTTCTGCTTTAATGTATTATATTCTCGATGAGAGCCAGGTAGTGTTCGGATAAGCGGCACGTCACGCCTGGCCAGGAAAGAGGTTTCTAACGCCAAGGCGATGCAGCCAGATCGCTCCAATCGGCAGGGCATCACATACGTTTCTTGCCCGGTTCACCAAGTTGCTACCAAACAGATTGGATCGTCAGTGCCGTGTATGCGGTATGCCATGGAAGGAGCAGCTGGCGTCCCGCGTTGGCGATTGAACTCTGGCCTTGCCACGTCAGGCCAGCCGGTACAAAGGAATATATTTGACCAGGTCACTTCCACCCAAGAACACTCAATTAGAAAGAACAACCGCTCATTCGGAAAAGTGTTCTGGTGCGCGTGGGCAAATTTCCGCGCTCATTTTCCGGGAGGAAACTTGCCAAATCATGCCACATCAAGGTTTCCGCTCATTTCATGTTTTTCCGCTCAAAGTCTGAAACGAGCAAAACAAGTGCCCAGAGCCCTGAAAAGGTGACCAAATGGAAGGAATAGGCCGTGATCCCACGCTCGTGGGGCATCGCCATACGCGTTTGCCCAAGCTCATGTGGCGACTAGCATTTAGTAGCTGAGGTTCGCTTCGCGACCTGGCGCGTGCCAGCATGCCCTCTGGTAGGTCAACTGGTTTTATGAGTCGAGGTTCTCTGTTGTTGCAGCAGCTTTCAGCATTTTCGCAAAGAAGCCATTCGAAACCAACCAGCACTTGGCATCAGCCAAATGCTAAACGCATAGTCCACCATGCAGCACAGATTTGCTGAAGGTTTGTTTGACAAGGCCACACTTATCGCCGCTGTCATCTGACAAGCTTTTGGAATCGCTCATGATCTCATCAACGTCACACACACACACACAACACTGAGAAATAGTCCCAATGTTTCTCTGCATCCAGCATAATGAGAGAAGCAAATATCGGTTGCATAAACCTGTGTGGTAATTCAATGTGTTAGCGCGATGTTTTAATCCTGGCTTTGCAACTGAAATGGTTTGTCATTCCGAGTACGGAACCAACTGTTTGCAGTGTTTGATCAAATGAGCTAGTTACTCACAACAACCCTTGATGTGGGGATGGGGGCCAGAACGGGCGCCAGACCTATATATTTCAAAGCTGAAACCAAGGCGTTGTCTCATGTTGGAAGAAGGTTCAGAGGCCGTCCCAATGTTTGCCAAGAATATGTTATTTACTGTTGCTGACAGTTTCAGGTGCTTGGGCGTGTGGAAGTGCTTCATTTGATCATGGCTTGTGGTTGGGCAGATTCTCCATTTCGGCCAGAAGTGCGTTTGGACAGCAAAAGTTTGGTGCCACTGGCGTCAAAGAGCTGGCATGCGCTGCGGCCAGCATGTAGTGGTGCCACGTCGTGTCTCAAGGGGAGCTATGCGAGATGAAGTGGTCTACACGCATGCGTGATTTCCGTGTGTTCTGCAACTGGCTGTCAGCCTTAATATGCCGCTGCCAGAACTGGCTTCCATCAGAGAGCATGGAGAGCCCTGACAAACGAGAGGAAAATGGCGCATTGGCCTCTTACGCATGTTGAGCTGCTCCCACAGAAGCCCCGCCAAACTGGATGGGAGGGTATTCAAGTAGGGAGCGTGCGGACGCTGGATTTGCGCGGCACCAAATCACGAAAGAACCTGCCTCGTTCCAAAAACATGGCTGTTTCATGGGCAGGGCCAGTTCGCCTTGCAAATCATCCGGCATGGTACTGCGCTCCGCAGCCTGTTGCACTACATGCCCACAGAATTGGCAACGCATCATATCACACATAAAACGACAACAGGTCTTGACCCATTTCTCGCAGGTGAGGATCCTTCTGGGCGCAGATCTTCGCCTGCAAAAGTGCTGTTTGCTCCGTGCGACACTTTTCTCGCCAGGTTTTTTTTTGTTTCGCATTGGCACTGTCTGCAGAGGTTTCGAGGCACCGTTTTTGCGATCTGCGTGAAAGCCATGGACAGTTTTCTTTGCTTCGTGGAGACTTCCGTTCCTCTCTCCTCTTGCCATGCTGACCAACGTTGCTGTGTTACACGTTTGCAGAGTTGTGGTGTAAGAGGCAATCAGTTTTATGTATGCGGATGGATCAATGATGGAGGTGCTGGGACTCATAGTATGGTTATGACGATTCAATTCGTTGAAGATGGATCCAGGCAAGGAGAGTACATGCACATACATTGTCTTGTGTTTGCCAAAAGAGACATTGTCAGTTTACTGAGGAACTTCGCACATTTGGTCCGCCACCGTCCATGCTTGGTTCAGGCTCAATGTGCAGCTAGCACCAGCGTATAGCCGTAGGACTTGAGAACGTTTGTATTGCAAGGCAGAGTGCCACATTGTTGGGTGTTGCATGAGCGGCAAACCTCATGTGTGTTACCGTCCCCATGCGTGCCACATCAGAAGATCTTCCCAGCACAAGTCACGCATTGGCTTAATGGGTTTAGCATTACAATTAACTTGTTCTGACATGGAGTCTCAGGGATGCTGTTTTCGATATGATTTCTCTTGAAAAAGCCTTCGCATGAAAGAGGCGGTGCTCATTTTGCTTTGCTAAAGCCTTCACACCATCTAAACGAGCGATAGCCTTCAGACCCGCTGAATTTTGCTGATCCTGTCAGGTATCACTGATTATCGCATGGGTATTAGTTAAAGAGCCGTTAATCCCTATTAAACAGTTACCAGAGCTATCCCAGTTTCACATGGACATTCAACAAATTTCCATCAAGCCTATTTGTGCGTGTTGAGAGCCACTTACCAAATCCTCCTCCCATGCCCCCCTGTGAAACACAAATCAGGCATGCGCCGGTGACAGCACCAATCATCAAAGGTTCAGGCTCTCTTATTCTCGTTTGACACCTTGCAATCTGCCTTCACGTCTGGCTCTTATTGAGGCTGGAGCGGACAGTGCGTGGGTTTTGGTGGACCACAAAATCCCACCATAAACATGGTGAGGTTGCATGTTTCTGCACGTGTTGTTTTTATGTCATTTTTTGCACAGGGAAGCCAACACCTTTGCCCAGTTGTCCTTTTTGGAGGTGATGTCGGGCTTGAGGATGTTTGGCATATCCTTGCAACCTTTTTTGCCATGGACGTCACCAGCGAGTCATGTTGGACCGTGGCGGCCTTGTTCCCTTTCTTCCAAGAGCACAACACATTTGGTATTTGGTGTGTGTGTGGAATTACTTGCCGGCGTGTTCTCCCATTCACCACGGGGGTGGGCTTGTTGTATGACGAGAACCACAGCTTTCACAGCGAAAGACGTCAGTGGCAAGCTGTTCAGACCACGTTACTGCTTCTCAATATTGCGCAGAGAAGCTGTCAAAGCAAAAAGAGCGAGTTTGGTTCCATGTACTGGAGGCAACACAACGGACATACTTCGAATTGCAGCTGCATCTCCTTCCAACACAAGATTTCTGCTGAGCGCAGAAAGCGTCACTTGGGGCAAGTTGCCAATTCGAGACCTCAGCAACTACAATACTTAGAGGACCTAGAGGGATGCAGCGTAACCTATTATTTTGCTGGCAACCAGAAGAATATTTTCCAGACTTCCTGTTAACACTCAGCGGAAATGCTCACACAAACATTTCTGCCAGGGAGCAACGGAGCACGTCTCATCCCCTTTGGGAGTGCTGCACCAGCAAAAGTCAATCTCGACCGCAAACAGAGAGAAGAAGCATGTTTTGGGAATGCTGGCCACTGGATGGACCTTGCTGTTTCAGGGTGACACTAATGCATAGGGGCATGCATATGTCCACCCATTACATTTTCATGAGGCTCATGCCTTCGGAAGATGATTTGCCCGCCGGGTTTTGGCTGAGAGTCACGTCCAGAGCTGTCGCCCCTCGCAGCATTTCGCAGCCGCTCGGACTGACACAGGTGGACTGTTTGCCGGGTGTAGTTGGCAGGGGCTATCCCGAGCTTGCATTGCGACATTATGCACATATTATATTGATCGTAAGTGTATGTGTATGTGTATGTGTATGTGTATGTGTGTGTGTGTGTATGTGTATGTGTATGTGCATAACTTATAATTATAATTCATATTCATATATGTTTATCCCACGCGTTCCGCATACCGGGGTTGAATGTGTTCTTCCTGCAAAACCTGCAGTCGTTTGATTTTTGCTCGGCGAAAATCCAGCCCCAGCAATATCGATGTTTCGTTCGCTTTGTGAAGTATAAAGAGGTTGGGCGGTCCCTCCCAAAACAAGCAGCCTTTCGGTAGACGACAAACCATCGAGACATGTCTAGTTGCGATCCAAATGGACCACGCCGAGGCACATATACGGTCAATTGCAGTTCTTCTCGTCCATGGGGGGACTCTAGCAGAACCAGTTGGCTTGGCTGGTATAGGATTCCTAGGGATATTATCAACATGCCTCATGCGCGTTCGACTTCTGGCCCAGCTCGGCTTCTCTGCGGGAAAAGATCGATGGGCCGGCCCTGTATCATTGAACAAGCTCTAGCTTTTTGCACCCGACTCGTAAAGGTTAACCTCGCGTTTCATAGTCATTCAGCTATGAAAGGATCCGACTTACCTGTCTGTTGAACCCGACGCTGTGAACCAGTTGGGAAAGCACACAGACGAGCACTGCGCGCAGCGGGCCATTTTGCAGAACCCTTCTCCAGTTGCTGCAACAAGCTTCCTTCTAATTGAAAGCTTTCCCAAATCTTTGGTTCCCTCGTGCCAGCACGACAACCCCGCCTTCCTTCCTTCCTTCCTTCCTTCCTTCCTTCCTTCCTTCCTTCCTTCCTTCCTTCCTTCCTTCCTTCCTTCCTTCCTTCCTTCCTTCCTTCCTTCCTTCCTTCCTTCCTTCCTTCCTTCCTTCCTTCATCTCTTCCTGCCTTTCATTTGTTCTTTCTTTCTGCCTGCGTTTGTCTGTCCGTCCGTCTGTTTGTCTTTCTGTCTGTCTTTCCTTCTTTCTTTCTTTTTTTTCTTTAGTTCTTTTTTTCTTTCTTTCTTTCTTTCTTTCTTTCTTTCTTTGTCGCCTTTTGGGTCTAGCTAGTCACATGGCAGATGAATGATGACCTGAAATCCTTAATTCTAAATCGCATGCGACCGAGCCCAACCAGGCCTGATGACACATATAGGCTCTGCATCCAAACATGCAGAGTAGGTGTTTGGGTTCTGGCTGCGAACATGTGCAGATCACTTCCGAAGTAACATTGCAGGGTGCTTCAAAGTATTTCCTGGCGGATGCTTCAAATAATTGATAAAGGATATCCTCTTCAGAGGCTCTTTCGATGGCCAACAAGGTGGGTTGATTCAACAAAATCTCACTCATTCAATTCGATAGTTTCACTAGCTGTTGTATGTTGCCGACGATGAGGCAGTTGCTTTTATTTGGAAGGAACTCTAAATGTGCCGTGCTGCAAATATTGGTGCAGCAGGTTTGCCAGTTGAAGCTGTGATTTTGCCGACAGTAAGACTCAGGTTGGGACCCACTGCAAACCACATGCAGCTGTGGCTTCAAGACGGTTTTGTTCCGGCTTGCCTGCGCTCTCTAGCCAGCCGCTTTGGCGTTGCTGAGCTGGTTCTGAGGCCATGTGCCTGGGAGCCTTTGATGTGGCAGGCAGGAGCTTGACATGGCTGCCAACCTCGCTGTCGTGATGCGCAGACAACTGCCGGCGACGGAGGGTTGGACAGTCCGCAGTCTCTTTTGATCTCGATGCAATCCAGTGGCTGCACACAGCCAGAGCGCCGCCCTTGTCGCAGGGGTGGAGCTTCATGCCCCAGTTCAGAAGCCAGAGGAGAAGGCGATCACCGAGGCAGGGATCCCAACGGGGAGTCGGGGAGCCTCAAGGCGCGCAGATGTTGACCCAGTGCCTGATTGAATCCGAGCCATTGGGTTCAGGATTGCGGCAGGTTGCCTTGCATTTTCTTTGCTTGGAGGTGCATCTTGCAGGTTGCTCTGTTTGCAAGTCTCAGCATTGAAGGGCGATCCGTTTGGAAGAGGGGTTGGATGTGAGCCTTCTTCGTGCATGTTGTTTATACACCTTGGCATTGCACAATCTCATGTGTGTGCGTGTGTGTGTGTGTGTGTGTGTGTGTGTGTGTGTGTGTGTGTGTGTGTGTGTGTGTGTGTGTGTGTGTGTGTGCATGACCGTGCGAGCTTTTCTGGCTTTGGTCTACTCATGTTTCAAGTTAGCGTATTTGTGGTTGCACATGTCTGCCTTCGCATTCAATTACATGCCTGCCACGGTTGTTTCTTTGTTTGCTTGCTTGTTTGATATTCTGCTCGTTTGCGTGTTGGGTTGTTTGCGTGTTTGGTTGATTGCTTGCTTGCTTGTTTGATTGTTTGCTTGTTTTATTGTCTGTTTGTTTGCTTGTTTTAATTGTTTTTGCATGTTTGTTTGGCTTACCTGCTTGGTTGTGTGATTGAGAGTGTGCTTTTCATACCTACTAATGTGTTACGAGTTCGGCCCAGTGCAACGCGACATCAGCGGTGTTTCTCATGAAGGCGGTGTAGCGGTTTTGTACGGGGTCCCGCATTGCTGTCAGGAGGCCGTCACCGTGCCGGACCGGGGAGTGGGGGAGCCGGGGAGTCGCAGCCTCGAAATGATCGGGTTCCGCGGTTCGAATCCAGAACTTCTATGCAGCGCACCACTGGTAGTTTGGTGGGGCAGGGCCCCAAGCAGCAGCTTTGTGCCGAGATAGCTTGCAAGGACTCAGCACCCAGTCTTTGCATCTTCGTAAACTCTGCGATGAGGCCATTCTTGGAGGGGGACAGCACAAATACACCACACTGACAGGAGACCCCGCTGCACTCACAAGCAACCAAGCACAATTATGCCGCAGCCCAATAGAGGAAGACCAGCAACAACGACACTGGCGACGGCGATGGCGAGAATGACAACACCACGCATCAACAAGCAAACGATCACATGCACACAGCGTGAAACTTCCCAGCTCACGCACACGCACACGCGCACGCAGACGCACACGCACACGCACACGCACACGCGCACGCTCACGCGCACGCGCACGCACACGCACACGCACACGCTCGCCCTGCTACCTGCATGACACGCAAGGACGGCCATACACGTGGACAGACACGCGGACGCACGCGCGCACACACAGACATCATATCTACATATGCAAACACATATATATATATAATACACATATATATATATATATATTGACATACTTGGCAGCCTTGGGGGGCAGTTGCATTATGCGTATTTGCTCCAGGTCATTGCTATTTCTAAGGCAACTTAATAATTTGCCTCCTAGAAGTTCCGCACCCGAGAAGTGTGTTGCACTTGTTTGCTTAATGAACTCTGACGGTTTTCTCCAACCTGGTGGCTTCCTCCCAAGCAACTTGCCTGCTAGTGCATTCAATCATTTCCAGCCTTGAAGACACTTCACCTCTAGCGTTGCATGAGACTTTGTTGCTGCCCTCGACAGCGTCACGTAAATGCGAGTCTTTGAAATGCATTTTGAGTCCCGCAAAGTATGTACACATCTCTCTCTCTCTATACATACATCTTTATATCAGAATATATTTATGTGATTTTCTACTGAACGTGGACAACTCGGTGTTGAGCTTCCTGGAGTGTTCGACACAGCGCAACGTGGCCGATTCCACCCAAAGCCTGCTAGCGTCTCAACGCTGTTCATGCAATCAACAATTCGTCCTGAGCTGAAGTGTTACGTGACTCCAGTTCAATTACGCCTTGGATTGCTTCCTGCACTAATATTGTTGCATCTGTTGCAGTTGCATAGCGTCCGAATCCTGAAACAACATCGTCCTGGCAAGGTGACGTGAGCGCTGCCTTATCCACTTGTCACCGATTCATACCTTCACGCTCAACGCGGAACTCAGCGGAGGCTCCACTCACCAGCAAATAGTCGCAACCCGGATCCTCCTTCGTCAGGTTCTACGTGGACCTTTTCAGGTGTGTATGTCTCATATATGTATTTCATATTTTTATGTTTGTTCTTTGAGGGTGCCCTTTCCACCGGGAAGCCAAAGGAACCCCCACTTTTTTTGTGATCCCCCTGTTTTGACACATACCCAAATGGCGGGTGTGGCTCAACGTGTGAATTCTCTAGGAGCTTCTGCAGCAAGCGCTGGCCGCCTCCCAGGGTGCTCCCAACCGCGCAGTGAAGCGCCGCGTGCGCCAACGGCTCCACAAGAAGCGCCGCCCTCGGGGACAAACGGTGGAGGTGTGGCACGGACTGGCGGCCGGGGCAGGATGAGAGATGAATATGGTCGGAGCTGCCACCACAATAGGGTTTGGGGCAATTCAGGCCGTATTTTGACAGCGACAGCTGCAAAGTCCTGAAGTAAATATTTGCAAACGGTATAGAAGAAGGCCGCAGCAAGGCCAGTACAGAGTAGTTGGCATCCAAGTCCGGACGGTCCCCAGTGAATGACCATGCCAAGCCGTGGACCAATTCAAGATGGCACGGCTAGTGGAGTATGACATGAAGCTTCCTCTGAATGGTTGATGGGGCAATGCAGCACCACCAGGAAAATAAGTATAGTCTTTCATTTGACGCAGTAGTTGTTTGATGAAGCCCAAGTGGTGCAGGATTCTCAGCATCAGGCAAACGGTTCGATAGCTTTTCATTGACGCACTTTAGCTTCTCAGGCTTGGTGCCATTTGCAACAAGGAGGAGCCGCGATGAGCATGGGATGGGAAAGCAGAGAGCTAAACTCTGGGTGCGTGGGTGCGTGGGTGCGTGGGTGCGTGGGTGCGTGCGTGGGTGGGTGGGAGCATGCGTGCGTGCGTGCGTGGGTGCGTGCGTGGGTGGGTGGGTGGGCGGGTGGGTGGTTGCGAGCGTGAGTGGATGGATGGGTGGGTGGGTTGGTGGGGTGGGTGGGTGGGTGGGTGGGTGGGTGGGTGGGTGCGTGGGTGGGTGCGTGGGTTTGTGGGTGCGTGGGTTTGTGGGTGCGTGGGTTTGTGGGTGCGTGGGCGCGTGGGCGCGTGGGCGCGTGGGCGCGTGGCTGCTTGGCTGCGTGGCTGCGTGGCTGCGTGGCTGCGTGGCTGCGTGGCTGCGTGGGTGCGAGGGTGCGAGGGTGCGAGGGTGCGTGCGTGCGTGGGTGGGTGGGTGGGTGTGTGGGATGGGTGCGGTGGGTGGTGTGGTGGGTGTGGTGTGTGTGTGTGTGTGTGGTGTGTGTGGTGTGTGTGTGTGTGTGTGTGGTTTTGTCTCTGTGTGTGTATGTTTTGTGTGTGTGTGTGTGATTCTGTTTTATCGCAATGGGTGTTTTGACTCTTTGAGTATTCTTTCGGACACGGGTTGTCCTAAATTGTGGGTTGGTGCTTTGCACATTTCGAAACAGGTTGAGCTGAGCTCTGGTCCAGGCATGCTAGCTGATTCTCGAGCCGCGTGACTTAAACATATTCCGTCAGCTAGAGTCATAGATGAATATATATATATATATACACATATATAGCCCAGACGATCCGCACCAAGTTTTGACAGGGGAGTCTTCTCATGTGCTTTGGGCGCATCCTTCCCCCTCCGCCAACCAAGCTGACACCGGAGTTGCACATGGCAAGATGCCCTGCCGAGTTGCCGCTTGAGAATGATCCCCCTCCTCTTCATTCGGTGGGCCCCTTGTTGGGTTCCGGCTTCTGCCAAGTGGCTGATCCACTGTGGATCCCCTGGGCCAAGGTCTCGCTTGGCATTCCAAGGCCAGGATGGCGAAACCCTCACAAGCTGGCAGGCAATTTATAGCCAGCCTCCCAAAGAATCATGGCCATTCCCCCAGAAGACTCACTTTCAGTTTGGTCCACACCAGACACATCTACTCCTGTGCATTACATGTCAGGCAGCTGTTGGCCAGTCGCCAATTTTGCCAGCGACAGGAGTTCGACCAAGCCATGGATGAGTTCAAGGTCCGCGGGAAAGCACTTGCTTTAGAGGCCTCAGCGATGGATATTGAGTGGCCGGCCACCAGAAGAACGATTCAAGCCAAACAGGGGCAGCTGGCAGTAGAAGTTGCCGTTGGGGCACATTTCCAACAAGGACTGTGGCTTGTTGTTTTCAGGACTGGCTCGTTGGAATGGATTGGATCTTCGTGTTGGTTTCCTCCTTTCAATGTGAGGGCTGGTGCAGGAATACAGCTGCGTTGCTCTTCAAGCGGAGCCCTATACAGCTCCATGCTGGGAAACTGGCGTTGCACTGAGCCGCCAATGCAAATTGGGTGGCATAATGCTGTTGATGGAATGACCCCTGGCACCAACTCCCTTCAGCCAGGCCTTGTCCTTTTGGGAGTTGTTTGTTTGGGTCGCAGGTTTGGTTTCTCGTAGACGTCGTTCCGATATCCGTTTGTTTTGTTTTGGGGGCCTCTTATTTGAGGCTTCGATTTGAGATCAAACCTTTTGGAGTAGGGCCTAGCCCTCCCCTACCTTACGGCCGTGCATTGGCCCTGCATGCGTGTTTTCCATGAAAAGGTTATGGAGGAGAAGAGCGAGAAGCCAAGGAACCGCCGCAAGAGCCGGGAGGCCGAGTTTCTTGACTTGGCTGGCAGAGGCAGTCATTGACGAGACCATTGTAAAGGTTCCAAACCAAGGGAACCATAGCCATGCCACATGAAGGGCGATGATGGCATGGAAGCTGTCTTCGCTTGTTTCCTGAGTTTCAAGGGCATCCTGGCCCACAACAAACGTCTCTTGCCTTCGAGGCCAGTACCATGATCTCTTGTTTGATTGTCTGTCCCTTTAGGATATGGAGGCCTCTACATCTCTGTGTGTGACTTTCCCTAGGAGATAAACGCCTGACACTCAAACGTAAGCTTTGCACCAGTTGATGCGACTTTTTAACGCCCAATATGTGTGCTTCGATTGCAATGTGCTGCCAAAGCAACGGTGTTTGAGCCAAAGAGCCAGCCGTGCCAACCTCACCAACCTCGCTCACCAATAACCTGCCCCCGGGCAAGTTGGTTCCCAATGATGCTGAGGCGCCGCCAACCGCGCAGGCGAGGCCATGCTGGAGTCCTACTGCAAGTCTTCACACGGCAAGTGAAGCTTTCCAGTTGTTTGCTTGCTAGGGGCACATGCATGGGGTAGAGCATCGCCGGGGAGCCATGAGACCCCCCCAAGCAAATTGCGGGTCGGTGGGAAAAGCCTAAACAAACCGGGGTCAGAGTTGGCATACTCAAGTAGTCTCTCCCTTCGTGCTGGTTTGGATTTGTTTTAGTATTCGTTTGAGCTGGCCCGGTACAGTCTTGAATTTGTGTAGTATTTGTTTAGTATTCCTTGTACTGGTTCAGCAATCTTACTAGAATTGGTTTAGTACTTGTTGAGTATTTCCCGGTACTGGCCCGGAGACGTTTCTGTTCATTAAGTTTCTGGGGCTTCCATGTACCACCGCGTTGGACCTGTGCGTTTCAGTGAAGGGTGTCACACAGAATTTGGTTGTTTGGGGCCTCAATTGATTTTGCTCTCTCGGGATTGGCTTAGTATTCGTTTAGTATTACTTGGTTTGGTATTGATTAGTAGCTGTTCTGCATTTCCTCGCCCTTATTCTTTTCAGGGTAGGGAATAGCTTTGGAATAGCTTTTCTGAATATTGCCTCCCGATCTGCTCTTCGCTATCCGCTAATATTTGCCTGGCGCTTGCAGGATTACTTGTGTGTGTGCGTGTGTGTGAGAAGCGGTTTGAATCTCCAAAGACCTCTAGCGCGCTTGAGCAGTCTCAAAGATTCTCCAACATCCGCTGGCGACCCCACGAGCTTGTCCCTTTCCTTGTTGCTTAACTTCGGATTCCAGGGAATTACTTTGACTCTGACCCTGTCTTGACTTCAAACTGGGACATTGCCCCCAGAATTGGGGTGATTGTTTGGCAAGTGGGTATATGAGGGGGATCAAAGGATTGCTTCCGACATATGGTGCTTGGCCTTTGCCCGTGTTGCCAGGCACCGAAGTCAAAGAAGTCAAAGCTCCCCAGATCAGCCAGACTTTCCTGGCCGTGCCCTTCTTTCAGTTCACAGCACCTGGGGCTGGAAGTAACACTGCCTGAAGCTTGCTTGTTTCGTCTGGGGAATGTGAGGGAGCCCTATGACACATCTGGTTCTAAGGGAAATGTGCCGGAAGGTTAATTTCCATATTTCAAAATCAGCTAGAGATATGTGCAAGCCTTGCAAGGCATCCCAATCAGCTGGCTAAGACCTTGTCGAAATAAGAGTCCTCCAGGGGCAGCAAATGACGCGCGAAAAATTGATGAATTGATGAATCATGACTACTCGTGATTCTGAAGTTTGAGGAAATTGCATGTTGAGTGGACAAAACTGCTGCATTGCACAGCCCGATCTTGATCACTTCTCCAGGACACTTAGACCGACACCAATCCTTGTGAGGATTCTTTGGGCTTGGCTTTGAGTTTGCTTGCCAAGCTCGCTTGCCAAGGAAGTTTGTTTATCCCTGACTGAACAGCCACTCTGCACTCTGGCCTTCCAAGTCAACGCCCCTGCTGACTAGACTTGGGATGATGGAACCGTTGTTGGCACAGATCCTGCTTCCTTGCCCCAGTGCCAAACAATGAACCCTGCCGAGCAAAATGTAGACAGTCCCGAAGCAATGGGGCGATGAAAGACTGATGCCGACATTGGAAGGTGTGCTTGGGGGAGCATGAGTGTGGGAGCGTAGGTGGTTGCAAGACTGGCACAGTGAAATGTTTCTTCTTGCCTTCTTTGTTATTTGCACCCAGTAGGGCAATTGTGACAGTTCCTTTCGTACCCTCTAACATCTCTAACTTGATTCAAGCACAGCACCTCTTGACATGCACCCCCAACAGGTGCTTCATTATTGCTTAGCTTAATGGCAGGACAGGATTTTGCTGACTGAATCTACTGGCCAGCCGCTTTTGCTTCAACACGTCACGCTTTGCCAAACACATGGTCCTGAATTATTGACTTGACGAGGGTAAGGATTATCACGCCAATGCGCTCATTCAAGTGAAGACATATGACCGTTGACGTTTTGAGCGGATTCTCCATCCTTACATGTACAAGGATGGCAGTTGTTCACTCCAGGTTTTATCACAGTAGCAGTGGTCCAGAAAGAACTGGCACTCGCCGAAGACATAAATCACGAAAGCACTAGCTGGAGTTCTTCTACCTAAGCTTTGCTTAGCAATCAGGGGGTGTGGGGGGCGGGCCCAACTGCCTCGGTTCCATTTTTTTTTAAAAGCGGAACCGGGGGCTTTGACTTGCCTGTAAAGCTGACCGATTTGAAACGCTACAGCCTGTACCGTTGCAACTCTTTTGCGCAAAAGAAATGCGCCCGGTGGCTGACTGCTCCGGAGCACCAAATCAGCACTTTTGGGCGGCTCCCGTGGCGAATCTGTGTGTTTCGGGCCTCGTTCTGGGCCTCCCGTTGCAGTTTTGCGCGCCGGCCGACGGCCCAAAACGCCCGAACGAGGCTCCAGAGCACCGCCTCCCGTTGCAGTTTTGCGTGCTTGCCGGCCGACGGCCCAACACAGCAACGGGAGAGCCCAAACGAGGCTCTGGAGCACCAAATCAGCGCTTTTCGGCGGCTCCCGTCGCCCGGCCGACAGCCCGAAACGGCAACGGGAGAGCCCGAACGAGGCCAGCACTTTTTGGGCGGCTCCCGTGGCGAGTCCGCGTGTTTCGGGCCTCGTTCTGGGCCTCCCGTTGCAGTTTTGCTCGCTTGCCGGCTGACGGCAACGGGACCAAATCAGCGCTTTTCACGTCGCCAATCCGTGTGTTTCGGGACCAAATGAGCTTTTGCGGGCGGCTCCGCCAATCCAGCCTTGTTGTGAGCTTCCCATTCGTGTTTCGGGCCTCGAGGCCTCCCGTTGCAGGTTTGTGCGCTTGCCAGCCGACGGCCCAAAACGGCAACGGGAGAGCCCGAACGAGGCAGCGCTTTTTGGTGGCTCCCGTTGCCAATCCGTGCGTTTCGGGTCTCGTTGTGAGCCTCCCGGCCGACGGCCCGAAACGGCAACAGGAGAGCCCGAACGAGGCTCGCGAGCACCAAATCAGCACTTTTGGGCGGCTCTCGCGTGTTTCGCGCCTCGTTCTGGGCCTCCCGTTGCAGTCTTGCACGCTTGCTGGCCGACGGCCCAAAACGTGACTTGCTCCCCCCCTGCGCATTGCATTCACTTGTCTCTCGCACAATGCTTTCGTTCCCGCCTCGCTCAAGTGCCAGAAGTACTCAAACGATCCCACGGGCAACAAGATCGGCCTTCCAGAGTAGTGGCAAGTAGTCAGCTGGAAGATGGGGTCTTTGCAAGGGTCTCACAGCTCTGACCTTCCATCGCGTTCCCAGGGTCCAACTGCCGAGGCTCCGGGCATTATGATCGGACAGCCCATTTGTGCCGTGCAGTCGGTGCGGCCGGTGCGGGAGCAGGTCCAGCTGCCGTGTGTTGGATTTCCAGGGGCGCAAGCAGTAGACCAGGAGCTAGTGGCTGGGGAATGCTGAGCGGCTCATTTGTGAATCTGAGAGTTTGTGCGTAGATTTTAGGTGCTAACCTAACCATGCAGAGCTTCCTTTGTTGCATGAGCCAAGATGCCGCATGCCTTGTCAGAACCACTTGGAGTTGCTAGGGTGAACATGGCCATGCCTCCAGCAAACACCTGCTTTTCCGATGAATGTAGGCTCGAATGTCTGATAGCGTTTCTCTTTTCCTGGGTACAAGATTGGGATCCTTCTGAGGATGAGAGCTACTGTACTGGTCGATCTTACTTCTGTCCTTTTCCCCGCGAATCTTGGCCAACAGGACATTTGTGGGAGAAAGTTGCACGATTTATAGGCCAGCCTGACTCTTGCCCTGCCTCTTGTCGGTGTTCTTGGCGAAGCGGATCAAAACATAGGTGGAAGAGGAGTTGTTTTTGTAACTTGCCGTCAATGTCATGCCCTGGAAGAACTTGTGGATTTCGGGAGGCTCATTGGCAAACCTGGCGCAAGTACTGCGAATTTGTTGGCAGATTCAGGTGGCAACAGAAAGAGGCGTTGAGGTTCCAGTCCACGGAGATTGCTTCTTTGTCCAGCGTAAGAAGCTCGCTGGCAGATTGAGTGGGTCATGTGAACCGAAGGCTGGATTGGGTCTGCCTCCTGGGGAAGGCTTGCGGCTGTTCGCGTAGGTGAAGGTTGAGGAGCAAGTGCTGGACTTGCTTCCAGGATCTCAGGCACAGGCGCGATGGGCTGAGTGATGGGTTAGATCAGGGCAGCCGGCAGTCTGCGGCGGCAGCCCTTGGAGCTGCATTTTTGGCGATCTGCGAAGGTCCAAAGACATCAGGCATTTATGGCCCAGGGATGAAAGGCCAACAAATAAACGTCGGCCCGCGTCATCATCCAAATTGGCCATTCAACTCATTGAACCATTCAGTGCATAGGTCAACCGCATTTTGTCCTTGCGCTCCGTAAATGAAGCGAATCCAGCGCGCGGGACCGGGCAGGTCCCGGAGACCAGCACAGAGGCCACGGAGGCTGCGTCGGAGCTCCAGAGCGTCAGCTCTGAGGACCGCCGGTGCAGCGGGTCTGGCGGTGCGACAACCTCCGAGTTGGGGGAGGGGGGCGGCCTGATTGAAAGGCACATTTGTCACATTCACTTGGGTTTCCCTGCAGACATCCAAGAAGGGGTCCATCAAATTGTTTGACATTCTCATGCCGCCTTGTGTCAGAGCCATTTCAACCAAGCAGTTGCTGTCGATTTTGTGATGGCAAGTTCTTTTTGCATTTTTGGCATCTAAGTACCAGCTGGTACCAGCTTTGGTTTCTGACTTAGTCAGAAGTGGGTGTCTGTTACAAACTGCGTGCATATCAAGCCCGGATAAGCCCTGCGGCCGCGCCTTCTTGATCTCTCCGCCTGACAAAGGCCAAAGTGAGTCGTGCGAAACATATGGACCTAAGTTCAGAACTGAGCAGCGCCATAAACCCTGGCAATACAAAGTGGTTTAGGGGGGTGTCCTATAGACCCGCCGCGAAAGCCAAAATGCAGGCCGCGAAAGCTTGAGAAAGCTTATCGCAAAAGTGCCTAAAGAAGGTCCTGCGGCGAAAGCCCCGCAAAAGTCTGCATGTCGATGATGAGCGGGAGTTGTGTTACACAGTCTTACATTTGTGATGCGCTGCGGTTTGTGTCACATTGCAGAAAGGCGAATGGCCATCGTCAACAGGAACCTGCAGCTTCTGAGCTCATGCAGGCCAAAGGGTGTGTTTCAAAGTGAAACTCCGGGAAAGCAACTCTAAAGACAAGGAAGCCCGCGAAAGCAAAATATGGGGTCGTGAAAGCATCGCGAACGGGTTTGTGAAAGCAAGTTCATAGTACCGCTTTTGACACAAGAGTATTCGGCACGGCTAAACTGAGAACAGCTTTGTCTCGTCCGGAATTGCGTGACCTCAGCACTCAGTTCTGCTCAATGAACTTGATGATTGGCCGAGTCTTCTTCTTCTTCTTCTTTCTTTGCCTATGCAAAATGCATGCAGCAAAACTACCAATCCAAAGATGAACGGACCGTTTTCAATTCAGTTGGCCTGTTGTTTCCTTTGTAGTCTGAGTGTGACCCACATCCCCTTGATGCCCCCAGTCGCCAACGCAGGACAGCCGCGAGTTGTGGTCGCTCCCTTTGCCAGTGGAGCGCACTTTCATCCAGCATGGCAGCCCAGACTGTCTGGACTAGTGGACGACTGAGTTAGATTGTGTGCTGGGCCTTCTGCTTGGTGTCTATCCCTGTGTGTTTTTGTTGCGTGGCATGAACTGCACTTTGTCCCACACGGAACCTGGCAGGTCGCCCCCGGAAGACCCCCTACAAGTGGAAGGCGTCAGTGGAGGGCGGTTGTTCATTTCCGTGGCTTTTGAGGAAGGGCTTAAGGGTTCACCGCCCCGTAGTTGCAACATTTAAAATCGTAGTTAAGTGGGGCTCCCACGATTCAGGACTCAAGCACGTGGCCAATCTGAGAGAAACGTTTGGAGCGTTCGGGCCGTCAGGACCAAACATACAATGTCTGCAAAATGCAACTGCGAAATCCTGAAGATGACAACTACGCAAACCGAACACAAAACGCGACCAAGAGGATGATAAAGGCCAGAGCAGCAGTCTCCATGAGGAAGGGAGGTTTCTCTGCAGGGTGCACATCACCAACTTTATCTCACAACGTCATATTTGTACGAGTTGCTAAATAGTTCCGATGGCAGCAAGAAAGGGAACACCCCAGTGAAGGACCCTGATCATGGGTGGATGCAAGGGAGAGGCAGTACTCCCTACCCAAGCATCACCTGATATCACCTGGCCCAGAGTACAGAAGGGAGTGATCTTTGGAGTTGTAGGGGTCACCACGCATGCGCGAAGTAGCCGGCCTTTCGCCATCTGAGCTTAGGTTCACGACCCGCGCCCACGTGCCCCGCCGCGCGCACTCGGTAGGCAGAGCGGTGAGTGGGCGGGTGGGTTGGGGGGCAGCCTTGAAGCGGCACGGTATACTGCACCACGATACTCCAGTGCTTTGCTGGCGAGGTGAAATGCTTCCATGGCGTAGAAGCCCTTTCAACCTTCCTTTTTAGCATTGGAAAGACAACTGTAGCACTACTGCTGCCTGCTAGTGGAATTTTGTAGTTGCTGCTTCTATTCATGGCAAGATGGAGCCACCAAATGCATGGCCGTTTTATTGAAGTGCTGCAGCGCAGGCCTCGTCACCGGAAAAAAGAGGTTTTGCTTGCTTCAGATTGCGCATATTCTATTCGCAAAAGCACCTTTGGCAAAGGCCATTCAGGAGGCTGGGCTGCGTATTTCTCTAGTTCCCCTAGAGTAGTCAACACCTCAAACAATGATTTGGAGGCGCAGGGGAAGCCATGCGATCATGGGTTTGGCGTCAGTAGTAGCATTCCATCGCCATGCCCAGGCAGCGGCCTCCGAATCAGACTATTGCTTTTGCTTGTGCCCCGTTTGTGTTCGTGTTTTTTTGTGTTTTGTGTGCGTGCGTTCGGGCAACTCCGTGCTGGAGGGAGCCATCGACCCACATGTTCATTGCTCCATGCAGATGTGGAAGAAGATACTCCAAGATGAGTCCTTGAAGAGGCATGATGAAAGCAGATCAAAGGCACAAGGGCAGATTCGCAAGGCAACAAATGCAGTGAACGGCATGTCCCGTGTGCTCTTTACTGTCTTGTCCATGTGGCCGGTGCATGTTTTTTGGAATGAGTTGTATATATATATATACATATATATATATATATTATACATATATATATATATGTATGGCCATCCTTGGCTACTTGCCTTTGTTAGTCTTTGTGCCATGATATGGCATTTGGGGGCCGTTTCATTGATATATTAGTGTAGCAATTCGTGCTCAAGCGGGTGCACTTCCTGAAGTGAAGGTTCCTACTAAATAGACCTCATTTGTGGATCCATCCGAGATGCCCATTGCCTGCTATCCAGCGACCTCAATTCTTGCCTTGCTGTGTGACCTTCGCTGCAGGGGCATGACTCTACTTCTGAACTTCTGATGGCTTGACAATGGACTGATATCGAACGATCACAGACTCATCAACCAGTGCCTGCAAAGACCGGCATGTTGCCACAACTGAAATGAGCAGCACTACTTGATGGCACGCGCACTAGGTTGTGGTATATGTCTACGAAGGTCAGCTTGTCTCTCGCTCTTTCTCTCTCTCTCTCTGTGTAAGGTTTGATTGGGCAAACTTGTTTCTGGATGCTCCATTGATTAACGATCCTCTAATGAGAAACGAGGAAAGTATCAAGAGAGACATTAGGGCCTTCGCATCCCCCCAGAAGATTCTCAGAACCCTTCTAATACCCCTCTCAAAGAAGGTTCTTAAAACCCTCCTTGGTTGCGTGGGCCATGGTTGTTTCCCTAGTTCAATAGCTTATAGGAGAGAGCGTGGCCTAAACACCGAGAGGGTGCCAGAGGCGTGCCTGAACATTTTCCTATTGAACATGCTATTGCTGTTTGGCTCATTTCAGGGTTACCGGTTGGGCAATGCGTTGAACAGCCAGAGCCAGACACCCGTGAAAAGGAATATTCAAGCAGTGGCGGTTCAAGCCAGTTTCAACAGCGGGCTGGCCCAAGCCTGTTTTGTTTTTCTCCTATGTTTAACATGGTTGTTGTGGCAAATTTGGTGAGAAAGCTGTGGTCAGATCAGTTTTGTTGCAGCGCTGCCGGCTTTGTTTTCAATTTCCCTCAGATCTCTGTTGCCCGCCTTGCTTCAGTTGGTTTGGTCATGGTCTCTGGTGTTAATCTACAAGAATAGTGCCTTGCATGGATTCATATGCGTTCACAGGGCTAGGACACATCACATGACTGTCACACAATTATGAGACATGCTAAGTCTTTGCGGGATTGAGTGCCACGCCTTGCCGAAGATGTGGTCCAGCCAGCGCACATGTTCGTTGCGAAGCTTTTGATAAGGATGCCTTTGCCTCAAATCAGACACCCCTCTCTGGGTTTGAAACGAAGCCAGCATGCGTCTGACTGTTGCCATTGAACAGGCATGTTGGGACATGTGGGGATGTGTTGGAGTACGATTGGGTATGTTGGGATATGTTGTGATATGGGAGTCGTGGAAAGGTTCCTGTATTCAGCCATGAAGGGGAAGACTTTTGGGTCTTAGTGTTGCCCTCGGCGAAAGCTTCGCGATGGAGGGCACGCAAGTAGATTTGTTTTCCGCGTACATGTGTTCTCCGGGTGGTTTGCCAAATGGAAGATACAATTATCAGGCATGTGAATTTGCCAGCAATGCGCGCAGAATGCACACAGACTAAAGTTGGTCGGAGGAACGCACGGCCTGAGGATTGCCGCAAGACCACGTTGCTAAAGCAACCTCCCAGCCGGGTTTTCGGCATTCTTTGGCGCAAGGTCTGCGAAAGTTTGGCGAAAGTCGATGGACCTCCGCTCGTTTCCGGACAGTGGCCAACGGGTCCCCTCCTGCGCCGCACGGCTTTCGCGCTGGGCCTGCGGATGTTTGCTTCACGTACTACTTTCGTACGAAAAGTTGCGACTTTCCAGCCGGAACTGCGGACGTGTGCGCCGCATACTACTTCTGTAGTGAATGTTGTGCAAATAACCCTCCGAAAGCTCCACGATGGAGATCGCAGCAGTTAATATTTCTCCCCCCCCCCGCCCCGCGTAGATTGTATTTGCGGGAAGAAACAATTCAGACAACTGCCGTATGTTAATACGTGATGGTATGTCAATGTTGGGATTTGTGCATGTTGCGATGTGGGGTGTGTGAATGGCTCCTTGGAACATCTCAGAGCATGTTCTGGTATGTTGGGTTATGCCGAGTTATGTTTTCAGCTTTTTGGGGGCCATGCTGGACCCAAGCTAGAAGTACCTTTGCTGCGCTGTGACCCTTTCTTTGCAAGACTGTGGATAGGCTGCCCCATGTGCAGCATCTGCCACCAACCCACGTTTGGTGCGCAGTTCCCCGGATGAGAAGATTGCATTCTAATTTTGACCCTGCAGAACTCAGCCGCATTTCCGGTGGCAAGCTCACAACCAAGTGGCGCCTGGCTTTCACGATTTGTTGAAAGTTGCATGTAGCGGTATCCTTTGTCGGTGTCAGGTTTCGAATCTTACCACCAATCGCAAGACCCCTTTGCAAATTGCAAAAGTGAAGCGTGCTTGGAGGGTGGTTTTGGTGGAGTCCGGCAACAGTTCCATGAGTTCAAGAGCAGGTTGATAAATGTTGGACATACTGAACTCTGTTAGCCAACTTGCGGTTTTGAAGAGTTTGCATTTTTGCAAATGCGCTTCGTCGACGTCGAAGTGACCCAGACCCACTGTGTGCGATGAAAGAAGCAAAAGCTTGGTTCTGCTTTGTTTAGGACACTGTTGCCAGTTGGCTTGCTTGGTGGCCAAAGAGCACACCTATCACCTGTGCGCACTTGCGCGCGCGCTGTGTGTGTGTGTGTGTGTGTGTGTTTGTGTTTGTGTGTGTGTGTGAGTCGGTTGTGGTGTGCATGGCTTCTGCGCAACACGGGGGGTTTAGCCATGTGTAGCACTGTTGCGGTCAACGTTGATACTCAGACAAAAACAACTTTAGCTCTTACTGGAAGAACCTTTGGACCCATCAATGCAGAGATTGGTCGGACAACATTGTGGCTAGCCTGGTGGCCCCAGAAGGACCCAACCTGGCTGCGAGGTCGGTTCAACTGGGGTGCTCGTTCGAAATGGTCTGCGGTTCCGGGCGATGTGATGCTTGCCCCGGCTTGGGGTCTGCTGTTTCGGGCTCACCCGCTTGAATGCTTCCACAGAGAAGCGGCACTCCGCAGCACTGGTATTCTTGATGTATGTGAGATAAGTCCGTATCTTCGGCGTGAAGAAAAGCAGGGCATTTCGGGAATGCGCAAAGCGTAAAGAGCTGCATAAGGCTGCCATAGATGCCGCTTCAAGCTGCGTTGAGTTGAGGCAAGTGTTCCGTGACTGTTGGAAACGAACACCTGTACAGCTGCAGGAATACCACAAGTACTCCAAGTCATGGGTTTAGAAACCGCTGCAAAGCGACTCGTTGGCTTTGCCAACGGGATGCCAAAGTTGAAAGAGGTAAGCTATTCACAATCCGCTTTTGCACTAATCATTGTTTGGGTAAAGCAAGCTCACTCGTGATGAAGGTCCAGTACTCGGGAACCTCCAACACATATGTACATACACACATGTATAATATATATATATATACAGAACCCCCACCCCCATGGACCCTGGTTTGGTGAGCTTGAGCTTCCGGTGTTTTGTGCCTTTTTGCCTCGTTGATTTTGTGGCAAACTTGGGGGGCGGGGGGTGCGCCATACGGATATGTGTGCATACATACGTAATGCAAGCAAAGATATCAACATCTGCCATTTGACAGAGTCTGCGTCCATCTCAGAGTATTGGGACAACCCTGGAATGACTAGAAGTTTTCAAAATTCTGGGTTTCAAGATTTAAGATTCAAGAATCTGAGAGATTTCTTTTTGGGAATCTTGAATCTTGAATCCCAGTGTTTGTTTTTTAAACAAAAGTTCCGGGCTGTCCCAGTACTCTAGGTGTTTAATACATGCTTCTGCAACCAAGTATGCGCACCCATCCCATCTGCAGTCATATGCATTTCTCCAAGTTCCCGCAATTTGTGGAGTCAAAGTGAGAGGACACGATTCTCGGAAAAGAAAACTCCAATCTTGAATATTCAATTCAGTTGTAGCATACTTTTATTGTTTTAGAACAACTTGACCCAACTTGAAAGTTTTTCCGGGCTGGCCAGGATTGATGATTCTCAGGAAAGTTGTTGTTTGCGCAATCTTCAATTTTGACTCCTCAATCCAGTGGTAACGCACTTTCAAGTGTTAGAATATCTGAAAGTTGTTTGGGTTTGGCCAGGATTGACGATTCTCAGGAAAGATTCCAATGTAATCTGGATCTTGAATCCTCCGTCCAGTGGTAAAATACTTTCAAGTGCTTAGCGATCCAGTGTAACCGCTTTCAAGTTCTTACTTAGACAAACTTTCAAGTGTTTTGGTGAGCGGTTTGCTTCATGTAAGCTATGCTCATGTTGACCCTTTTCCAGGAGGTAAAGGTAGGTGTAATGCTGAAAGCACTGCATGTGACGGCATTTTATGAAGAGGCGCAGGATCATGAGGGGTTCTATATGTTTGTATGTATGTGTGCGTATATATATATATATGTATCTATGTTCACAGACCGTCACCCCCCCCTGAACGACCTGTCCACCGCTGCTCATCTGCTAGAATTCCTGCTTCGAGGTAGTTTTAGAATTTGAACCTCTCTTCCCTTGAAATGTGCATTTTGAACACCGTCGAACAAGTTTGATTTCTGACCTTTCTTATGCTACAAAAGGGCCAGAGTGTCAATAACACAAATCGTATTTAAAGTTTCCTTTTAGACGTCCCTTAAAGGTTGAGCCATTTTTAATATGATTTTTAGTTGAGAACTCGTTTCTATTTGACTGTTATTCTCAAATGCTAATTGAATTGTGTTCGTATTAGGTGAAATAAATTATTGCCTAATTTCTTTTGTTAAAGATTGGTTGGAGTTTACCCGAAATCATATTTACTTTTTGAATGTAACTCCTATTTGGAAAAGGGTATCTTTACTTGAATAATGTTTGAACATAAAACACATTTTGGAAAACTCTATCCTTACTGAACTTTATTAAAAGTTCCAATTCTAGTTGAAGTAAACTCCTATTTGGAAAGGGCATCATGTTGGGACATTTCGGAGGACCCTGGGCTCGAAATTATTAGGCTTTTGGGGCCCAAAATTGGAAATTCGAGAATTTAAATCTCCAGATTCTGGATTTGTCATTTCCAAAAAGCACAAACAGTAGGGTCTATGGGGGGGGTGCATATATACACACTATATATACATATGAATGTATATATATATATATATATATACACATCATATCATAGACATATATATATATGTTATGTTTGGGTAATTTGTGCAAGTCTTTCTCAACTGGTGAGGGTGATTAAGAGGGCCTCCAACTAGAAGGGTGCGGACAATCGCACGGCAGTTTCTGGTCTCTGCGGAGTGCCCTCGTTGGGTGCGTTTCTAGATCGTCGTTGGATGGCGT